ATCCGTGTGTTTTCGAAATTTCAAACACGTATTTCTCGAAACAGCATAAACTGCAAGTATGCGTTGTGTCCTCCAAGTCCTTGATATGAACACTAATGTTTTCACATCGTAATTGAATCGATTGCGTATTTTTATAAAAAGGCCATCTTTGATTTCTACAAACTAGAGTTTCTTAGGTTTTATTTTTTAAAGAGAGACGGCACTTCCTCGCCTCAAGTCGATTTTTTTTCTTTTTTCCAAGATTAGTCCCTTTTTAAAAAGAAACAATTTGTTTCTTTAACCTCGCCATCAGAGCTAGAGTACCTCGTATCCGCAAAATTTGCCATCTTTATATCTTCGAATGACATTAACTATTCATTAGAATTCCTTTAAAGGTCTGAAATGAGATCTAAATTTGAGACTTTGATAGGTATCAAAGTCCTATATACCGTTAATATGAAGGAGACAAAGCGTTAAGACGAGGAACAGTCGGAAGTATCCATTAAATCACTCGACCGTCGACCGTTAAAAGTTATGGTTTTCGTCATGAACTGGTATTAGTGTGTTGTAAATTTTCATTTATGATTGCAAAGGAGCTGAACAGAGGGGATTAGGCCGACCTGAATGGACCCGGACGAACGGAGACAGCTGCTGTGACCTTTTGACCTAGAGCTGCACAAATCCTTTTCGGGCACGAATAAATTATTGAGCTCCCCCGTTTTTATGCATTTATTCCTTCGAGGCGCTTTCAGAGAACTCTAATCCCCCTTATTCACAAAAAAAAGAGCTCCATATAAAATATTTCGAGAAAGAGCCCAGGGCTGCCTTAATCGGCCGGCGCTGCGTGACAATAATGCCCGGGATAGAAAGCAAAGGGCAGTGATAATATCTGTGCTTTGCATAAGGTTTATAGATATAGCCATAGTCAAGGATCTCGGTATAGACATAGCAAAAAACTCTTGAGATAAATGTAGACACAGCCATGGATATACAGCCGATGCATAGGCAATAACCTTAACAGGCAACCGACATCAGAAATAAATCAATGCATGGAGAAAATCATAGCTATAGACATGGTTGTCGAATGGCAACTGCGGGCATTTTGTTTTCTTCGTTTTTTGCTGCGGCTGTGACCTGTGATTCTGCGATTTGTCATTTCTGTTAATCCTCGTAATTTTTATTCCTTGCAATATTGAAATAGCCTCCATGCACGCTGGGCTTGTCGATTTCCTTATTTTTGCAGTGGTGAATGCATAGCTGAAGTGCGCTCTAGCTAGAATTGTATTTAGCAAATGAGTGGTTTTTATACGAGGATTAAAAATAAACAAGTGGTACGGAACAAAACAAAAGAATATGAACTATATCATGGACCGTGGGTTGATTTAAATTTCTGATCGAACTGTTTTCTAACGCTTCAGTCAAATAAAACACAAATTTATTGAGTTGCATTAGCTCGAAAAATCAGTCATTCGATTGATTTTTGCTCCAATTTCTTGCGAAACTACAAACCTGATATCGAAACTTGGCTGTTTTGAAAACACCTTCAAATGCGGCGTGATATCTCACGCATTCCGGAGAGTTCAAATAGTTGTATCATTGCGCCTTAGAAATGCGACGGTAGATTACAATTGAAATAGCCTCCATACACGCAAGTCTTGTCGATTTCCTTTGACATTTTAGTAGTCGTGAATGCATAGCTAAAATGCGCTCCAGCCAGAATTGTATTTAGCAAATGGGTTGTTTTTATACGAGAATTCAAAATAAACAAGTGGTAGGAAATAAAAAATAATAATAAGAACTTTGCAAAACGATAGTCTGGGTATCGGAACTTGGCTGTTTCGAAAACGCCTTCAAATGCGGCGTGATACTTCACGCATTCCGGAGAGTTCAAATAGTTGTATCATTGCGCCGTAAGAACGTGACGGAAGATTAAAATGGAAATAGCCTCCATGCACGCTCGGCTTGTCGATTTCCTTTGACATTTTAGTAGTCGCGAATGCATAGGTAAAATACGCTCCAGCCAGAAGTGTATTCAGCAAATGAGTAGTTTTTATAGGAGGATTGAAAACAAACAAATGGTAGGAAATAAAACATAATAATTAGAACTTTGCAAAACGATAATCTGGGTATCGGAACATGGCTGTTTTGAAAACGCCTTCAAATGCGGCGTGATACCTCACGCATTCTGGAGAGTTCAAATAGTTGTATCATTGCGCCGTAAGAATGTGACGGAAGATTACAATTATTTGTGTATGAGAAATGTGTACGTGCTAATTCCTATTTTGGCATGGCATTAAGGAACTCAAAAAAAATAAATTACATGGGAAAAATAGGGTAGTCGTTACAACTAGTGGCTGGTTAAAAATACACCAGCTACCGTGCGGTAGTTATCGTAACTACCGCACGGTAGCAGGAGCATTTTTAACTAGCCGCTGGTTGTGTCGACTACCCTATTTTTTCCGTGTAATAAAGGGATTTTATATCTAAAAAAATGCATTCTTTCAAACCAAATGATTCTCTTCGTGTCATCGTTCAATTCGAAACATCTTGCGTGACCCGCAGCATATCCTCCAAAGTAGGAAACGATTTGTGTGAAAATTATTGCATTCATTATTAGTTTCTCACTTGCATCAACATTCAAAACTGTCATCTACCTCATCATAAATGGCACATGTTGTCATCATATAATGTTTCCGATAAACTGTGTAGAACAGAATCTTTAAATAAAAGCACGGAAAAAAAATGATAGATATTGAACCATAATAATAGCTGATGGCACCAACCTAAAAATATATGGTCAAATCTACCTTACTAGTGTCAATTTTTAAGTTATTCAACCGGACGGATGGTTGATTCAACCGCATTTCTTGGTTAGTGGGAAATTCAGCTGTAAATATAGTTAAATATATCCATCCCTTTTTTCCGTGAGGCAGATTAATCGACACGTCCTATGTTATTCGGCACAAATTAATGACAATACTTTAGGTATTATCATTAACTTTGCCAATCAAATTTGCTATAATATATATTTTTGTCTTAATATGATTTATTCATTGAGGCGTCTTTTTAAACCTTATATTTATTTGGTTACATACCGTAACCATCGACTACGCTTGGGAAGATGTTGTAAAAGCCGAAATGAGAATCATTCAAACTCTTTTCCCTTGGTGGAGTTTCTATACTTTCTTTCGATCGAATTTATTTTTTTATATTTTTTGCTTTTTTTCAAAACAGAAAGTCTGAATTCATAAAAACGGATTTGGCAACATGGCAACAAATATCTCATTGTTGTAAACCCACGTGTAGTCGTAACACATTTTACGAGTAATGAAATTTACACTCGGAAGGAAGCTTCTATGGTTCCGTAACCCCAAGTTTTCCACACTTCATCAGTTGTCATCTTGTTCAAGGCTCATCAGTCGGCCTCATTTGTGAGGGGGCACTATCACTGTTTCAGGAGGGAAAGCTCTTTAAGAGCGGGTAACGTGAGTTGAAAATTTTAATTTCATTGCTCCAACAAGACAGTGAACGGTGATAATGAAAATGTTTGCTGAAATAACTGTATTTTGTTCTGCGTTTTCAGTGAGATGGGATGTCATCACTTCACAAGGACTTAAATTCCATGTCACATATAAATGGAGACTCGCTGGATAATATGTATTATAGTATTTCGATGACTTTACTATAATCGAAACTTTGATTGGTAATTTACATTTCTCTTTGTTTGCTACAAATTTAAAAACTATAAGAGAATCCTTTACTTCATGAATACATACCTCGAACTAAGTAACAAGTTGGTGAAATGGTGCTGGGTCCACACCATTTCGCGGGGCAAACAAAGCCACTAAGTTCCAAAAATGTTCAATTACAGTCTGATAAACTTGCGTTCTAACATAAGCTGCCTGGGTTGAACACCTCCCCCCCCCCCCCTCAGTCTTTTACTGGTAGGTGCTCATTACAGCTCAACAATGTTTGACCCTATTTACACATTTTTGGAACTTTATGGCTTTGTTTTCCCCGCGATATGGTGCGGACCCAGCACCATTTCACCTTCTTCTTACATACAGTTCGGATTATTTCTTACCTAGTGTTTTTTTCTCGCTACTAATGATGTCTTTATAGTTATTTTCAAAAAAATTATTGGAATATTCTTATTACCTAAATTCTTTTTAAATCTGAGTGAGTAGTTGAAAAAATATGACATATAGGAAAGGATCCCGGTTTGAACCCCTGGCACTCACCGTAAAGTTGACAGGAAAATGCCTCAATATTTTTACAATATTTAATATTGCAAGAAGAACTCTTAAAATAGACCAAGCTGGTAATAATACGTGGTATTTTTACAAGATAAATGCGTGAAAAATCTACTTGATTCGCTCAATTTGTGACACCTCTTCACTTGATGATTTCTCCATAAAATTATTTGGCTCTGAATACTAAAGCCTTTTTTACGATTTTTCTCCGGAAAACTTTCAAACTCGTAAAAAATATATCTCTCGCTACTTTTGACGAGTTCTTTTACGAGCTTCGGTGCTAAAGCTATGCCTGGTGATGATAGATGACTGAAGTGATTAGCAATCCGTTTTGCAAAAAAGATCTAGTTCGGCAATTTTGCTTAGCAATATTTCCAATCATCAGTCGTCATTAGACCCATAAGACGCTCAACATATTGGTAATCAATTATCGATTGACAAATCGACAACGAGGTAACTTAGGTCATATTTTCAGAGGACAAAATTAACGTGGAAAAAGACAAATTACAAAAACATAAATAAAGACCCCCGAGTGAGTATTTCTTGAGTTTTAGTCCTTACACTTATAGAATAGGGATTTTATGGGTTTAAATTTTCCCCTAGACATCCCAGTTTAATTTAGATCAATTATTTGTTCTCTTTTTAGAAGGGAGGTGGAGGGCGTTCTGAAAATCACCATAAAGTGATGATCAGTCAAAAAGTACCCATGTGCCCATTTGCTCCCATGCACTTCAGTTGTTGGCAAAATTTATTCAAAATCGAACTTACCTCGAAATTCAACTTTTGCAACTTTGTCTCCTTTGCATTTGGGGATGTGGAACTGCCGTAGGCGGAGGGAAAGAGACATGACAACGTTAAACCATCGGAGCGTCCGTCTTCAAAATTGTCACCCGTTCAATAAAATCACACGGACGAGAAACACATAAGCCTGGAGCTCGCCGATTCACCGTCCAGTCATAAATTCTTCGAGATTGGATTTCGCAACTTAATGCCACTCAATAATGTAAGACAACTGTAAGAACGGAAGCTTGTCCACTTCTGGAAACGACCCGGATTTCTTAGGTCACACGATAAAAAAGTAGACTAGTTGCTACAGATAGAGGCTAGTCGCCCTTGCGAGAGTTGCGATAACTGGAAAAAAATTTGCAATAAGGAACTATCATACCTTGGTCAACCCTGATTCCTTAGGTCACACGATAAAAAAGTAGACTAGTTCCTACAGATAAGAGGCTAGTTGGTAGTCATCCTTGCCAGAGTTGCGGTAACTCGACTAAATTTTGAAATAAGAAACTATCATTTTGGACCTTTCATAAACAACATTTGATTTATTAGTTTCACTATGCAGATATGCGTTTTCAAGGATAAGCCAGGAATAGTAGTCCTCTACTCAAAAATTTAGTCCATTGTTTTAATGAGGAACCACCATTCATGGCTCATTTTAGAATCAGAATACGTACCATTAGTTCTCTTTTGCATATAGAGGCTTTTGTGAATGAGCCAGTGATAGTAGTTCCTCGTTGCAAAATGCATGCCATTTTGCAATAAGGAACTACCACCTCTGGCTAATGTTAGGAACAACATTGGGGCTAAAAAATCCTATATAAAGACCGATGCTTTTATGGATGAACCAGACATAGTGACAGTAATTGAAAAATTTAGTCCAACTGTCATCGGGAATATTATAGCTTTTATGGTCGATATAGGTTGTTTCAATGGATATTGATATTATGGAGTGTGCATTTTCAGTTATTGCTTCAGTAGTTGTAATTTCGATACTGTTATTTCACGTTCCATGCATCTTTCGAAAACGATTTTTATTTTATTGCCTTTATTTTGTTGTGATAATGTTGTCATTTTTCCGTGTATAATAAGAGGCAATGGTCCTGGGCCTAAATTAGTATATATGTTCAAAAAGTGCGTAGTATTATCATATTACCTGCAATATATTACAATGAATTTATTCTATTTTATTTTTTTCTAATTTTTTTATGAACTCATTTCTATTCTCATCGCATTTTTCATCATTTGTATTCTGTGAAGTTTAATGTTAATACCATTAAGGACATTGTTGTGTTTATTATTGTCATCGTGCTCTAATATGCAACTGACGAGTCCGTTAGTATGTTTGCAATCTCAGTCTTTCGTCTACAAAGGTCAAGTGTGAACATATTGGCGTGTTATATATTACATAATGCTTGTTCCGTAGAGCAAGGTGCGCAAATAAACATAAAAGTTCAACATACGTACATGGGCAACCTAATTTTTTAGCAATGGAAAATGGATATATTTCAAATATTCGTATTAAAATACCTTTTCACTTTACGATCAATTGAAAATGCATGGTCACTCAGCCAGTTAATTTTTATTATGCTCGCGGGTTAATTTCTTGTATCCTGCGCATCAGCAGACTTTTGCGGCTTTGTAAAAAGTATATTTCAAACATTTATTTTAAGTAATTATATTCTTCTCACGATCACATGGAAATGGCTGTTCGGATCATGTTTATAATCAAGGTAAATTTTCAATGTACGTTTGAACTAAATCAAATACTCACTGTCCAAGTTGTTGTAGTTTATGAATTACAGTTTTCACCATAATTTTTTTCACTATCCTTAACTTTACTATGAAGAGCCCAAGGTCTAAAAGATTATTTACCATGAAAAATTAATCGATCACCTAGGTACAACACCATTATTTCCCCATACAGAATGACACTATACATAGTATATAATACGAAATCCATCGTTTTGGTTTACATCGCAGCAATTGACCCTTAACCAGAAATCACGTGCTGTAAAAACGTTACCATAGAAGAGGACAACATCATTCCACCTGACTGCCTATTTATAGTTTTCACACCTGCACTTCCGTTTCGCGATTCTATTTCCGGCGGGGCGAGAGGAGAGAGTATTTGCACTTCCGGTCAGCCAGCGGAAATCCGCAGAGCTAAAAAGAAAATGGGCACCCGCTGAGAAGCGCGAGAAGATTTCGCGAGAGCGCGGCTGCCGACACGAAAGCACAACTGTTGCTCGGCGGGAGCTCAGGACGACGCGGTGCCCCTTCAAAGACTCGAGCTGCAGCCAGCGAGGCAGTGCACACTAGGCCACCAGGTGAGGGGCAAAAGCAAAAGTTCGCGCAGCTTTCCCGTCGCCATGGAGACCGTTATGAGCTACGAGTCATTCCGCTATCGCATTTTTTTCACGCTAGATTCCGCACATGGCATGACGCAAGGAGATGACCTCACCCTCGCTAAGATGGAATCCGGAACCCAGATCACAGTTTTGAGACAAAGGGAGGCCGTCTTGGAAGAGTATGGAGGTGAATCTTCCCCAAGCCTTTTTGAGTACCAACCCTCGTACGTCTTTATTATAAAGCGTCTGTTTCTAGTCTGTGCACATGGACAGTGATTCTGCTACCTCCCTACTCACTACCCAGTTTAATTAAAATTACGTACCGGCAAAATGTTTGATATCCGCATGTTGATGATAATTTAAATTATTGACCGTCAATTTTTAATTTTCTAATTTTATAGTATTTCACAATATTTTTTGAATGTTTCTCATCTTATCTAGTTTATAGCTTTTTATTCTTCATTTTCTCCTTCCAATTAAAGTTAGACGACTCAGGCCCTTCAGTTGCGAGATTTACCGCAGTTGACTATCTTTTAATCACAGCATCTCCATCCATGAAAAGAGTATAAAGAAAAGAAAAGAAACGAAGTAGAAAACTATAAAAGCAACACCATGGATTATGAATGCCATACAAGCCATCGGGCGTCAAATTGTGACATAATAACTTAACTGATACGGTCATGAGCAAAGAATGGCGCAAGAAAGGTTGCCAAAGAAGGTTCTGGATTGGATTTCTCCCGAAAGAAGGCGCAAAGCTCTCAGAGGGTAGAGGTATGGGATTGAGGCAGAAATGTTTAGGTAATAGGTACTCTATTCAGTAGAGCTTATTTGCGCATCACAATTAAATTGATCTCTCTTGTTTATAGTTCACCCTGCGGAGTTGAACTGTCAAAGAAGGAAGAATAGATAACCTTCAAAACGTCGACTATGCAGCCACATAAACGCGAATATCGTATTAAATGCACATTTATCCCTTTGAAGGAAATTTTAAGTGCACCAAATAGTGGTTGCAAATGAATCCTTCCTGTTTTCGAACCAATACCACCTTAATTTATTTTGAAAGAACTGAAAAAGTGATGAGGTGCAAAAAACGCGATGCCTTTTCAAACGGGTCCGTTGTATTCAGTATAATCCAATTTGCGTGAAAAACTTTCAAGTCAGGAAATAACTGACTTAAGGGTATGCCTTTCAATGGATTCCCACGTAATTACAAGCTAATACGTGCGGTGATGAAATGAGACCACTAACACAAAATTCAATGAAGTGTTTTATGTATTGTCATTTAAATTATTCTACATCCTCGTGATCAGGGGGAGGATCTGTCCAAAACTGGGGAACTGGGGGTAGTTCATATTCCGTCACTATTTCAGTAGTCGTTACTTTATCGTACATAGGTGTGACATAGAAGAAATTGACCGCGATTGGGCCGGTGAGGTCAAACTCATCCACGAACTTATCAAGATCAAATCTTTTCCGCATCGGGTCACCCCTGAAACAGAACGTCACATGCTAGGCAATAAGTATACTTAAGGTCTTTTCCATCTACATTTGCATATTGTATGTAACTCTTCAAATAAATTATTACGTATTGGTGGCAATGATGACTCTATGTAAACAAAAACGATCGAGAAAATTATAGGTTCCTTTAAGAATTAATTTGATCGATCTAATTTTGATGGTGAAATTAGGAAAAACTTGTGCCTTGATTTGAAAATATTCGAAGTTTTTCATAGATTATACTTGAATGCACGCGATTCATCAGACATTGCTCATGAATCTTAATTAGAGATCCCGATCAAAAAAAGAGCACCATCACGTATCAACCACGACGCACAAAGGATCGAGTCAGTAGGAGAGGTCGGACAAAATTTGGAAACTTTAAAAGCGTATAACTCTGTATATACAAAACTTTGTCACTCTAAAAGTGGTTCCATTGGTTTTCTTGCGAAATGTTCTTCTAGAAACACCCCTTAAATTTAAAATGTGACAAAATAAACATCAAAATTTGCAGTTTTAGTCAAACATTTTATGCGTGACCTCTCTGATTGATTCGATCGACTGTGCGACGCCTCTCATTAATATTAACGTGAACCGGTGCTTTCGTCACAAAACGACCAGAGTAGCAACACAGGGACGCAAACATTGCCATATTTCTGAAAAGCAAACGCAGGACGTTTTGGTGTCTTATGACGTCAAAATCAGCTAATGAAACCACGAGAAAAATTAGAAACTTTGGAGAAAAAAAAGAGGTAGAAGAAAATCACGATGTAAACCACGAAGTGCTGACTAACGGACCATTAGTTGCACTATGCAGTCACGGCGGTAAAAAATTTGGTCATCTAATTTCTTTTGATTCTTGCAGTTACTGATGGAGCTATGCAGTATCAAAACGTTCTGCGTTTTCTTTTTTGTATCTTTTCAGCCTCAGTTTCGCCTTTTAGTAGACAATATTTGTAGCTTTTATACTCTCCTTTGAGGAAGAAGATAAAAAGGTATGCGGTATACCTTGCACAATCTTCGGGAAAATATTCGACAAAGAAAATAAAAGTTAAACTTACTTTGCTTTAATGTAAGGTCTCATGAAATACGTGAGTTCGTCTTGCTCGTATATCAAAAAGACGTACCGGTGAATACCTGAGAAAACAGGAAATATAAAGAGATTATAAAGAGAATGATACAAATTCCGTCGGTTTTGGGTTTAGTCACACCTTGGAATTTCAAGAGGAGATTTTTTGAGGAAAACGTATCTCTAAATTTAATCATTCAGTACCAAACCAAACCAAAAGTGTGCAAACATTTCAAAATCATGAGTTCAAAACGCTGACTCCGTGAGTTTAAATATGAGATCCTTAACACAGAGCACAGAGCGTATCGTTGTGCTGCTAGTGCGGAACGCGCATTGGCGCCAACAAACCTAAGGGGATACTTCACGCATTGCGCAATGCGTGAAGTATCCCCTTAGGTTTGTAGGCGCCAATGCGCGTTCCGCACTGGCAGCACGTCGCTACGCTCTGTGTTAGGCTCTCATATTTAAACTCGCGGAGTTAGCGTTTTGAACTCATGATTTTGAAAGTTTCGCACACTCTGCACAGATTTTTCTAATTTAAATCGATGGAAAAAAAGTATTAAAGGAAATTACAGTGTGTGTTTTGTAAATATTGAGGTGGTTTCACCGTGTCAAATTTAATGATTTCCAAAGTTCTTTCATTTTATATTTTATATTTTGTGTTTTTACTGTGCTGCAGCATGGTTAACGCTCAAAAGGTCAAAATTAGACGTACTTGACTGGAAAAAAAAAAAAAAAAAAAAAAAAAAAAAAAAGATACCAAAGGTGAAAGAGAAAAAACACTAAAAAAATGGACCAAAGATGTAGGTAACAAGATGAAGGAATGGTGCTGGGTCCACACCATTTCGCGGGGGCAACAAAGCCTCAACCTAACATTCAAATGCATAACATGCATAACATTCAACTTAACATTTCAACTGCCTGAACTGAACATTCTCCCCCCCCCTCAGTTTTGTACTGACCAGTACTCATTAGAGTTAAAAATTGTTGTCTCTAATTGTAAATTTTGGAACTTCTCGGCTTTGATTTCCCCTCAAAATGGTGTGGACCAAGCACCATTTCTTCACCTTGAAGACTGTAATTTCATTCTCACAGAATGTACTTTGAGGGTTGATGGTGTTATGAGGTATTAAAACTTAGAAGTATCAGGTACTTTATCTCAAAAAGTTGAATTCGTAGATATACTGCGTTTTTTTCTTTGATATACATGATAATTAAGTCAACAAACCGTCTAATGTCTCCCGTGGTGTCGGGCCCATATAATGAGAAATGTGTTCACCGGAAGATATATTTAATCCGTGAATATTTGTGAGTACCCAGTGTTGATAAGACTTCCATTTTGGCTTCTTAGGCGATGGGTTATCTGGATCTGAAAATGAGATATGATCAACTCAGCAGATGAGACAGAGAAAAAAAGATCAACTCAGCAGATGAGACGAGAAATACAAGCTTTTCCTGCAAATTTAAATGTTGACGGTTTTCTCGCGTTTATGAATAACGTCCATCTTCTCCTGTAACTACTCAACTTTTCATTTAGATCATCTATTCTTACCAGTGCACGTAGGTTTTTTGGGGAGAAAATATTGGGGAGGGGAGCTGGGGGAAAATATTTTAAAAAGGCTGCATACTTCTCTTATGCGCATTTCAGAAATGTCAAATTAAATAAAAGTTCCATTCAAAAAATAATTCACATTTTACGTGCAAAAAGAGGACGTCAACGGGCCAGTCACTTTTTTATACATTTTGAGCACGTCAAGAGCGACATGCGGTAATGCATTTTTGGAACGATTGGCTTTTATAATGTTTACAAATAGAAATGTTTAGATCTGTGTCCATTCAACATTATACTTAATTAATTTTGCTGTCATAAACACTTCTCATGATGAAAATTTATCCATCGTTCTGATCATCAATATTGAAAGAAAAGAAGAAAAAGAAGATAGTGTATACTCTTTCCGGCTATTCCCAACAAAAAACCCTCATTTTGTGACAAAGTGATAAAAATAAAACCCTCATAACTAATAATTAAAGTTAAGATTCATCGAATCCGAAAATATCCGAGAGAAGTAAAGGCTCATTTTATTTCTGGAATTTTCTTTCTTAGAAGAAGAAGAATTTTGTTTCTTCTTTTCTTTTTTCTTATATTTTCTTAGAAAATTCTTAATTAGCCGATTTGACCGATTAACAAAGAGGAATTCAAAAATAGGAGGACCTGTCTCCGTTCTGAGGAGGCAAAAAAGAGCGGAGCAGGCTGTGAGGATCTGCCTCTCCTCTTCAAACAGAACAAAAAAAACTCACAAACAGGAGGGCTGGTGAGTGATTTTGAAAAATTGGTTTTCGAAGTTGAACAAAGAGGCTGAGCTACAACTGCACCTCTCGGCCAGCATTATCATTTGACCCTCATTTATCTTCCCGTCTTCACTCTACCAACAGTACCAACGACACAAAAAACAACTCATCTGTTGTCAAAATCGCAAGTTTTACGCTTAGGGAAATTAATTTTCTGATATACGTAGATTCGGTATCTGAAGAGTTTTTTTAATAAATGAGTAGAATTGTTTACTGATTCAACCACGCATAATCGGTTGATTATTCAAAAATGCGTACACCAGAACATTTTGGAACGCAATTATATTGGAATGTTAACATTGCTATTAGACTGCGTGCGTGTTTTAAAATTTACTTTATATTTGTTTATATATTTAAGGGAAGGAGAACATAACTGTACATCAACGAAGCGCCTTCCTCTCAGATCTACATGAATGATTTTTTAAATTTTATGTTTTCAAATGAATTAAAATTGAGATCAGTGCAAATCCGTGGAAATGAAAAAGAAAGGAATCTTGCACCAATGTCAATTCTTACCGATGAATATTATACAGTAGAATTTGTCTTTTTTCACTGGCCATTTTAGGGTGGGTTTATTTTCGGCGACCTCTGGTTTCAATTCTTCACCAATATTTACTTTCACATCACCGTAAGTAACCTGCAATTTAAAGTCAGCAGGTTAAATCCACCCCACGAATAAAAAAGCATAACCCCAAATATGCGTCTGATTCTGTCCCTTGCCGTGGTTTTTGCACTCAACCATCCCAGTAGCAAGCACTAATACATATTATTTCACTTAGAGGAAAACGACGTGCCATGAGAATATCCATAGAGCAAGAAAATCGAATTCTGGCTTAGAAAAAAAAATACCTGCCCTTTTGAAACGGTAAAATTAGTTAGAAAATAGGAGCTTTTTTGCAAGCTACTGACGATTTTAAATATATACTTATGTCTTCTACCGTATGTTCTCACAGGACAGTTGCCTTTTTTCGTTTTTTACGTGCAGTCTTGGAACTGAGCAACTAGAAACATATGTGTTTAAATCACGTACCTCCAGTAAACAGGGCGGTGCTGTTTTTATCAAGTCAGGAATAACTTTGTGTTTCTTCAATGCATCCTCAATAAATCTATTTGAATGGTTTGAGCTTGAAACTGATTTTGCGGATGACCCATACAATCTGTATGCATTAAATTTTGATAATGAATGAATAGATAAAAATAACAATACGTGATGAATTGTCACAGTTGAACCGAGATGAAAACGCCGTGCCTCTATCATGTTTGCCTGGTTGTCGCGTTACCTGTGTACTGCAGTGTACTTCACGATTTCACCTTGTACATGATCTTCAATCACGGCCTAATTTTCCAATGAAAGTGAAATCATGTAGGTGCTAGTAACGTGCACGTAGGGTAATATTTTTGGGTATATTCTAGGGTAACTAAGAGAATATTTTTCACATCGAACACCATTTCTTGCGGGTAAAGAGTCAAAATGTTTGAACGAACTTGAAGCGAATTTTTTTCATTGGAATGCACACCTGCTCTCAAAACAAATTGATCTCCTCTCCATTCAGCCCATCAAGTCAAATGGTTGATAATGTGATAAAAATGTATATGGCTAGAACTAACTAGCTTATTGATAAGTTAATTTCGAAATTTCTCAATGTGATTTGCGTGAAATTCTTTGACACTTAGTTTTCGGCTAGTGGTTCATAAATATGAATAATATATCGAACCAATCGTAACTAAACCCATAAATGCACTATTGTCTGTATTCACATAGCATTGTTAACTAGCGTCCGGGGATACCTTCTTTTTGCTACTACTGATACCCTACATTCATCATTCTCTGTTTGACCCATAGAAAGCAATGAAATACGATTGTTGACGCTCTGAACCAGGCCAGTTTAATCCGCACACGCGCACCCTATCACACAAACAATTGTAAACTTTAATTTTACATTTTCCTACTGCTCTGTACCTAAGGAATATCATAAATGGGTGATGGAGTTAAGTAAACATTTTCCCAGAAACATTCCTCTATAGTTGCAAAACTATGCATAAAAGCTAATAACTTCCATAATCGACATTTCCAAAGCTTGAATGTGAAACGGAAGAGAAAAATAGGCTTTTATTTCATTTATTCCTCGAAGTCTTCGAGGCTTTTTTGAGTTCATAGTTTAAGAATAGAGCGATGTGTCGTTGTAATTGGGTTGGTGGCGAGGCAGATGGGTTAGGTTGGGTTAAGCAACTAAACTAACTCTACGACAATGCTTGAAGTATCACGCCAAAATGATGGCGCATCAAATCGCTCCTGCTAAGACAATCATTAGTTTTAGCGAGCCTATCTGATCGTATTTGACAAGTTTTCATTGCTATCAATCGTTATTCATTATCTCTCATCGTCATCGTAATCGGTTACTTATCATTTAATTTATTACCGTTACTTCACTCGATTGCATTTCTTAATACTTTTTCCATTCTTTTTTTTTTCAATTTTTTTCAAGCTAATTCATATCAAGGAAAGGGGTGTGACGATAAGTGGTAAGTTGTACTTCCGAATATTTTTATGTGGCTTGAAATTTATAGTTGTAAAAACTGGAGAACATTAATTGATATATTTTTTGTTATATGCCAAATCCCAAAATTGATTTATTTCAAATTCATACGCACGTTATCAAAATGTCGGTTAAAATGAAGTCATTCTACTTCATAAGTTAAATAATTTGTTCTTTTATCAGATTATAAGGACGAATGTAAATGTCTTGAATTACTAGCGCAAACTAAGTCTCACTATTCATTTGGTGATCGCACCTTTCTCAACAAAAAGTTCTGATTGTCTTTTTCTTTTATTTACCCGCATCTTCTTGTGATTTTTCGGGGGCTAGTGGCATGTTTCAATTGTGTCGAAAATGACCGTGATTGGTAGTTCCATACTTTACCGACTCAATCAATTCAATGACATTTTCTTAGTGTAGTTGCGGGATTTGAGGAAGTATAACTTCATTATGGTTCAGACCGTTTTGAAACCATTTAACTGGAACGCGCAGCAGACATATTTATCTGTCACCACATTAATGTTGTGCATTTTCAGAATAGTTTTATCGACATTTATGAATGATAAAGCAGAAGCAAAATTAGGTAAATTCGGCATCATCCCCGATGTCATTGACGTGGTACCCAAATTTCTCATAGATGTAAGTTTGCACAAGAAACTCATTAGCTTTGCATTGAAGAACATGCTTGTTGTGTCTATAGCTACTAGTATCTGTAGAGCTATAAAAGGACGTTAAGTTTATTTTTTCCCCCGCACCAAAATTCCTAAACTTATTCCTACCAGTTAGTGATGCGTAAATACCACTACAGAATCGTATTTTGATTGTTAAATCTTAAAGTGGCAACGTCTGTACTAGCCACAAACGCTCGTATCAATGATCATCTGGATTACATTTTGCAATAAGGAACCACTATTTCTGGGCCCATTTTAGAAACAACATATATGCCACTGATTTTCCTATGAAGATACGTGCTTTTATGGGAGAGCCAGAAATAGTGGCTCCTTATTGCAAAATGTAATCCATCTCTTGATGCGCTTGAAAGTGATCGAGCCACATTGTAATGCGTGACAATTTGTGTGAGATGTGTTCGTCCAGCTGTGAAATAAAGTTTGCATTATTATAGACGTTATTTTACCTTCCCCATAAGTGAGTAAAAACTATTGAAAGTAGCATAAGTCTTGGTGTAAATAAATTATTTTCGTGCTTTGCCTCACATTGTAAAACACATATTATTCCACAATTAAAGAATAACGAGTATCAAATGTGGGAGCATTTAGAGAATAGGTCATGCTTGCGTAGAAAATCCGTAATTTCTTCCTAACTCATTACTTAATCAAATTTTAAAACTAGTTGTGCCCAGTCCCATGCTGATTTGACTTTTTTTTAATGACATTTTTTAAAAAAAAAATTAAAAGAAATGAGAATCTTGGGTTATTCTGTCAAAAAAATCACCACAGCAAAAATGTTAGTGTGTTGAAAAACTCGTTGAATGACGTCATTTGCTACCATAACACTATAACAGTACATACCACGGTTATGTTCACCTTGGGTCATTCGTGTTCTACATCTAAAGTTGTAAGGGCATTTGCACGCGTTGCACTGCTTGATGAAAGCAAGGTGGAAGAAACCATGGATCTACTACGGTGGATGACGTCATGTTCTGACGTTTACGTTCTGACGGATCCTAATAACGTTCGCTCATTAATAAGCTGAAACCAGATTTTCGGATTTTTGCTTGAATCAAAACAAAATCCGCTTAAATTAAGAGGCTTGGCTCTTGATTTGAGCTAGATTCTGATTGAATCAAGAGTACTTTTTCTTGTCGATGTTTTTAAGAATCTGGACTCTAGATACAATGTGTTTTTTTTTCCCCAGTGTTTGTTGCTTACATAGAACAAGAAGGCAAATTTCACATGGACAGTCTCCCCGAATCAGTATTCACACAATATTTTCAGGCTCATTAGAAATTGAGGCAAGATTAAATTAAATACATGTGAGAGCTACTAACTGCTTTGCCGTCCAAGTCACAAAAGCGCCTCGCACCTTAGGCGTTAAAGTTACTCAAAAGGTACCTCCCCCGAAAATTAAAGTATCGCCGAGAATTGATGGCCTAATATTTGGTTTTCTCAAGATACAACCAATTTCGTTTGTGTTTTGCTTGGTTTTGTAAGGTGTCTTTAGGGTGCCGTACTCTCCGTATTGGTCAGAAAGTAAACCCCGCATTCATGCAAAAGGTGCCGAATGTAAGCTGGCCGGCACAACCTGGAGCTCTGTTTACTTTGTTGATGATTGGTAAGTTATACTGCCCTTTTTTTCTATCCACTTTCACTCTCTAATTCAACAAGAACTGCTAATAAGAGGATGGAAATAATTTAACACAGACAAACCGTCAAAATACCTATGACTTTTGTTGTATTCCTCCAACATTTTTATAGAGATATCAATATAAGAATCTAAAACAATAAAGAAACAGAAAATTATAGAATTAAACATTAGATGACACAAAGTAACTGTCTGATAGTTACTCAAATAAAAAAACAAGCAGTTCCAACGCCCAAGCGTAGGAGGGCGCTTCTTTGACAAAGCATATTACTACCAACTAATGTACCCGAAGACTGTCGAAGATGGAATTTAAAGTGGGACTTTTAACCGCAAAACCCTTCAAATCTTCAGATCGACCGCGAAAATCTGAAACATTCCACAAGCCTTTTGTGATGAATTTGAGTTGGTGGTGAACGGAAACATAAAGGATGCACTGTAAATCAGACGACGGGAAAGAGCGGCGGAACCTCTAAAGCTGGTGCGTCAACGCGATCTAGCGGACAGCGGCGTCGCGACGCCGCGAGGTAGGNAACAAGCAGTTCCAACGCCCAAGCGATGGAGGGCGCTTCTTTGACAAAGCATTTTACTACCAACTAATGTACCCGAAGACTGTCGAAGATGGAATCTAAAGTGGGGCTTTCAACCGCAAAACCCTTCAAAACCTCAGATCGACCGCGAAGATCTGAAACATTCCGCAAGTCTTTGGTGATGAATAAAGGGTGGTGGTGAATGGAAACATAAAGGATCCACTGTAAATCAGACGACGGGAAAGAGCGGCGGAACCTCTAAAGCTGGTGCGTCAACGCGATCTAGCGGACAGCGGCGTCGCGACGCCGCGAGGTAGGGCGCGCAGGTCGCGGGGTAGCGGGGCCGCGTGAAGAGGAGTTCAGCAGTGGGGAGGGGAAGCGCGGGTCGCGGGGAAGAGAGGGACCGGCCGGCCGGCGGTGACATCCAGGCAGCGCTAATGTCTCCGCTAACTGGAGTTGGGGGTCCTTATTCATTCTCTTGGTCCATGACATAACCTTAAACCTTCCGCTCAATGCCGCAAACAGCTGACGTGTCGATGCTGCGCCAAGAAAATGAACCAATCACAAAGTAGCACAGTAATACGTCACTAAAATGAAGAGATCACGTGACTGTTCGTAATATTTTCAAATCGATCTGAAAGTACTGCCTCGGATATAAGTATTCAAAGCATAAGGAGGCCCTAAAATACTTTAACCAGGTAATACGTCCGTGCGAGATTGTTATGCTTAAAAGCAAAACATTTCACGAAAACTTTTACGAATAACAGATGCAGAAAAAAAATCCAATTTTCCCGGGTGTACCAGAATGGCGTCATTACCCATAAGGCAAAAGGCCATGTAGTATAGTACATGTTACATCGGGGGAGTCGAACGGTTGGAAAGGGCGCATCTGGTACCCAGAAGCGCCCAAAAAATAAATTGTCAAACGAAATGACTGAGTGCATTTAAAAAAGTAAAAAATTATATTGTTTAATCCAATAATTATATAGAAAAAAATCAAAAACTTTCAATAGGAATTATATTTGTTAATCACAAAAAATCATAAGTCCTCAAGAAAGGTAGGGTATAAAGTTTTGGTCAAGAATAGGTGTAATTTATCAAGAATAGGTGTAATTTATCTACACATGGTGTTTTTTGTTAAGTAAACCTATTCCCACTTTTCAGATCCTGATGTACCTGTGCGTGAAAATCCATGTTCGGCAGAAAGATTACACTGGATTGTAGGGAATATACCAGGATGGAACTTTTATGTTGGAGATGATATAGTAGACTATATAGGACCATGGTCGCCCAAGAACACAGGTTATTACGAACGTTTCATTCTTCCTATTTTAGTTTAGTGTAATGCAATGGATTTATAACTTTTTTAAAATCAGTCATGAAAAAATGTATGATTTTTTGGCGGTATTTCGTTTAAAATCGTTTGTTTCTCGCAAAGTCATGTTCATAATTCTATATCAAACAATTGTGACAGAACACACAAATCATGCAAGAATTAAAAAAACCAATACAATGCAAGGATGGGACGTTACATTTGGACAGTGTTTGATGAGAGAAAACCAATGGAGCTCCAGCATGTTCAAGGTATTTACCGTGTAAGTACATTCTCTCATGTAAAATTTCGAAGAAAAAAAAAAAAACACAATGGAGCCACTGGTTTCTTAAGAAAAAAAAACTTCATTAAATCTCAAAAGAAGCTATCAAATTGATTCCATTATGGAGGGATTCCCCACGATATACTGAGAGTCTATTTCCGTACCTAGCCAAACTATCTATGAAAAGGTATAGGGAACGAATAAATTAGCAAGGTTGCCGTATTTCCGACTTTAGACTCACCGATAAAAGAGGCAACCCTGCCACAGTATTTACTCTCTATCTGTGCATGCACAATTTGATTGGATATAGAGGTGGTCTTACAGCACAGCGTGGAGGATCCTTTGCTTTATTAAGGCTTTAATTTTGAGAGTTTTTAGAGCTTTAGAGTTTGTTTCAGAGAAAACTAATTGCACCATCGTTTTTCTTGCGAACTTTTGCAAATGGGAAAGTACATAAAACGTAAATTCCTGACACAAGCATGAGCTCCATTGCTCTAGGAAGCAACGGGCTTGCTTTATAGTAGACTAGCTGTATACTCGCGCCATTGCGCGGTAGCTGTATCGATGTCGATACATTCATGATTATTTTCGTTTCAAAGCTGTCTATTGTTGGAGGATAGTTGCGAGGCCCATTAGTCTTTGATCCCTTATTTTTTTGACCATAGTTTAAGGAGTCCTCATGCCAAAAATGGGAACATCGCCCGATCAAACGATCCAGAGATACAGAGATCAGTCAGTGGAGTTGCGCTTTTATTAATATAGTTTGGCAGATTCCTTACGTATATAAAAAAAGACATACTTCAACTTAAGCTTCGCTCCGTTGCATGAGAAAAGTTTCACTCCATGGCATTCACTGATCTCGTGTTCCTAAAAAAGACAAACCTCTCCTCCCCTCCCTCCCTCCAAAAAACTCTAAAAATGAATTGAAGACAAACAGATGACAAAAGTCGACATAACAGAGGCTAAAGGTAGTACCTATTTTAGGTCACATCCACCATATTTGAGTTCCGAATTTTTCCTAACAATTCGAATTTCTCATTATTAAATTGCCATTTGATCCAGGTTTCACTATCATTCAATAAACAGGAGCCGAGATAGCATCTTCAGCCGCATCCATAACATAGTAAATGAAACACATTTAACTTGAAAAAATGTATGCAAATTCTTATTTCAAGTGGCGAGTAAAACAGAAAGCCAAAAAGTGATTGAATGATTGAATACGCTAAATTCTTGTTGGCAGTGAAAAGGTTAACTGCGCTATCTCCAGCGAAGTTATAATTTTTGGAAAATGATTCATATTCCTCGCTCAATGATTAAGAATTATCTTTACTATAGTAGTATGAGCTAATTTTTCCGAAAATTCTGAGCTATTCTTCTGCCATCTTGCATCGGAGCGTTGAGCTATTTATTCGCGACACTCCATGCACTAACACTAGCATTATAGCGGTGAGTTGATATCAAACAGCGCTCCCTACCAGTTGAGCGTTCAACATCACGAAGGAGAGAGGGGGGCGATTGGTAGTATCCCCCCCCCCATCCATGCGTTTACGTTTTTCTCTTTTTTTACACCTAAGGACTGTCAACCGATGAAATAGCTAAAGTGTTTTTAATGTACTTTTAAATTAATAGCTATACGTAAAACATCGAGACCACAAGAAAAAAAAAAAATTACTAAACAAGATGCCCGATCAAAAAATAAAACCTAACCTGATCAAACGTACATACAACTAGACTGAACTTGATTTTTAAATGTTGCATGATTTTATTTATTTCCTCAGTTGCAAAGGGTTTATTTGCCCAGCGAAATAATCATAATTTAACTTTTCAGGCCTGCATAGAATTACGTTTCTCACTTACTCTCAAAATTCCCTTATAAAGTTTGACGAACAACGATTGACAATATGGGATAGGTGAGTACCCAAATATTTTGGTTATGTATATTTTGAACGCAGACATTAATATACGATGTAACATGATGGTAAACAAATATATCGTAAATAGGAGCATTTTTCTGCTTAAGTATAGATCAAGGGAAAATATGCATCGGTGACATATCCAACACAGTAATTTACGAAATGTAATCGAGGGGCTTGGAGGACAAGGCGCTTAAGTGCAGTTTTTGCTATTTTGAGAAATACGTGTGTGGAGCTTCGAAATTACATGGATCCTTATGGCGGAAAGAAAGTTCCAACTAACTCTTTGATGCTTAAAAATTGGAATTTGAGAGCGAATTTTTCACAGAATATGCATCAATACTAGTTTTACTCAAAATCATTAATATGCTAATTTTAAGCAGTTGAGTAAATGCATAGAGAAAGAAAAGGAGGTGTTTGCATTCCGGGCATCTTGGATTTCTTTGATAACGTAGGTCGGCACGGACGACTTTTATAATCGATTTTTGTGGAAATGGTGTAGTTTGCCGAAAAAATTTATTGTATATAAAGTGTTTGAAAATATATCATGAGTTGATTAGAGAAAAAAAATCGGAAGTTATGGTCCGTTTTTCATACCTCGAATTTCGAATTTTGCTTGCCATGCTGTAGCGACCTACATCACGAGGTAAACAATTCTCAAGGTGCAAACACTTCCTTTTTTTCTCTATGGAGGATTTGCGTTTTTCCCGCTCGAGAACGGGCGGTTGAGTCTAAATGCGTTTGCACCTCCAATCGCCTGATAATCCTTTTTGTCCTGAGAGTTGTTAAGTAGCGACGGTGGATGACATTGGGATCGCACTTTTGTGTTATGCTTCGCGTCATATATTCATGATGGCGTTTTGATGCCGTCTTGGATTTTTCGGGATGCTGAGTTGGGTTCACTGACGAGTGTGATCTACTGATGAGGTCTAAAGTTTCAAAACGTTATAGATCTCACGGCGTGACTTCAACTTAATATTCCAAAGCATCTGTCTGAGCTGAATACTCTCCCCCTCAGTCTTGTGACGATACTCATTAGTGCTCAAAATTGTTGACTCTAATTTCTTTTATTAAGATTTTTAGCCTTTTGCCCCCCCCCTCCATAAATAGTGTGGATCCAGCACTACTTTACCACCTTGTTACATACAGTTTGGGCCACATTTTTTAAGTTTTTTTTCTTGCTCTGATGAGTTACTAATGTGAGAAACCTTTAACCATTGAGGTGCTTAACTTTTCTGCCTTGTTTCCCCCTCAAAGTAGGGTGGATCCAGCACTATTTCACTATCTCGTAACTTATCAAAAGAATGAATGAAATTGGTGCCCTACATTCATGAAGATAACTCGCCGTTATCTGTGAGTTGTATAATATATTTGAAAGTTTTTACCAATAATTTTGTACAGAAATAATGATAAAATATGAAATGAAACTGAAATTTTTATGCATTGTTATCTGAATAAATTGTTTAGCTTTAATCAGTGCAGAGCATGAGGTGTCTGAGTCATCACTGACGTCAATTTTGCAAACTGCTCGATGAATTTAATACTTAGGTCGGTCCTTGATTCATGATCACGGGCTCACAATAGTATCTTAAAAAATTGCTTTTTCGTTTTGTTCTCTATTTTTTCATAGAAAATTGTTCATTTATGTTTGCAGATCATTCGAGCAAAGATACAAGTTCTCGGCCCGGAAGTTTGCCGAGAAGTATAACTTAACTATTTACGCTGTGAATTTCTTCCGGACGGGATGGCCTTTGCGCTTAAACTCAACTCAACTCAAACGTCGTAATCGAAAACCCTCATCACCGAGGGTCCGGGGGCGAACCCTCACCACAATTGATCCGTTTTTAGGTGACTTTGCTCCTCCACCGGAGGAGATGGAAATGTAAATGACACACAGGTTAAGCAAACCACTGTTAGAGATTGAACATCATTTTTATTTTTACTAACTGCAGATTTTGATGTTTATTTCGTAACATAATTCTTTTTAAGACGTGGTATTTTCAAGAATATTTTACAAGAAAACTGATTGAACCACTTTTAAACTCCACTGTTCCGCATTTACGAGGATATAAACTATAAAAGTTTTCACATCAAGTGTGACCCCTCCCATTTACTCGTTCTATTTTATGACATCCAAAATCTTATTTACTGCTATTGAAACTATAACGTATGAGTGTGGACACACGAGGTAAACATTTATTCAAAAGTATGTACGAAAAAATGGCGCTAAGTATTAATTAAATAATAAATTAAAGAAAATGCTTCAAAACTTCTTAGAATAGACCCATTGTGTTTCTTTTCCGAACATGAAGACAGTGAGAAAATCCTAAGAGTTTGAGCATAAATGTAAACATTTTCATACGTAAATGCCCATTAGGAAAAATTGCAGAAAAGGTAATGGACTCTAATTGGCTTATTCTCTGAACATTCTGAAATACACAGAATAGGACTCATCTCACCCACGCATATTTTCTCACATTATACTTTGAAGAAAATAAGCTGATCGATTGAGTAATAGTTTTTAAAAACACACGGAATTATTCATACAACTTCATTATGTTACGAAAAATTTCACGTAAAAAACATTCACCTTTCATGACTCAGAAAGTAATTGTCATACCAAAAAAATATTATTGCAAATAAAAAGCTTAAATGCGTAAGCGATCTTAAAACGAATGTTTTTAATTGGAATGCATACCTTCTGAAACTAATTCATCTCATTTTTTTTTTTAAATAACTCATCAGCTCATCAATTCAAAGAGTTGGCGAAGAGATAACAACTTATATGACTAGAATTAAATAACTTATCGAGAGGTTATTCTCAGAGTTTTCGATGCGATAATGTTTGTTGCGTGAGTGTTTTCAACATTTAATTTGGGTAGTGGTTCATTGATACGTATAAAACATCAAACAAGTAGAAACTATACTCCTAAATGTACAATTGCCTGTAATTCGAATCATTCAGAATAAACTTGCGTCCGCAAAGACTGGCTTTTTTCCTGGTCACCATTAAAATTTCCCGAGGTAGAGGGACATCAGAAAACCGTACATAAATAGATGAAACTCATAAATGTTCATTAATCTTTTTTAAGGACAATTTCAATCATTATCACGAATTTTTTCGCTCTTCATTTACATTAAAATAGGAAGAATTTGAAATTGAAATTATCACGCGTGGCAAAGATTAGTAGAACTTTACTTGGATATTTATCTATGAAGATTATGTATAGAAATAACGTCACTATTTCAAATCAGAGCTTATAAAAAAATCCTCATATTTCTAAAACTATCAAATGCTATCATTACAAGGTGAAGAAAATTGTAGCCAAAACTTAAAACGCTATCCAGGAACTTACTATGTCTTTAATGTGAATTAAATTCCATGATCTTCTGGAGGATGGGGCGTGGGAGACACGTATGGTGGACAGTCTTCAGGACCTGCTGGTTTTCCTCCTCCTGGGTGACGTATTTGAAATAAATTGATAGCAATAGGGTCACTTAAATTGTAAGCTTTTGCTACTGTTGCTACCCTAAATAAATCATTCTCTGTTTGATCCCTGGAAAGCAATGAAATAAAATTACTGACGCTCTGAACCAGGCGGGTTTATACAAAAGAAAGGGGAAAAATTGTAAACTCTAATTTTAAATTTTCCTTTTGTTCTACATTTGAGAAATATCATGAGGGAGTTAGGTAAAAACGTTCTGAAAGACATTCGTCTATAGTTGCAAAATAACGTACAAAAGCTAATTACTTCGACATTTTCGCAGCTTGAATTCGGGACGAAATTAAAAAAATGAGAATGCATTTCATTTATTGCACGATATCATGACGATTTTGTGCACGATGTCATGACCGAGCAATTGGTATGGTATAGGCATGTGCAGAGAATGGCTGATACCAGGTTGCCGAAGAAGGTGTTGGAGTGGGTCCCCCCAGATAGGCGACGAAGAGGGCGTCCAGCCAGACGGTGGGTAGAGGGCATCCGTGAAGAGATGGAGAGATGCCAGCTTCCGGAGATCTCTACCATGACAGATTCCTGAGGCGGGTAGGCGTCGCAGAGCGTCCTAGCGCGCCGTAAAAGCGGCTTTTACACACATACATACATTTCATTTATCCATCGAACTCTCCGGGGCCCTTTTGAATTGATAGTTTAAGAATAGAACGACGTGCTGTTCAGTTGGGTTGGTTTGGTAGCAGGGCAGGCTGAGTTAGGTTGGGTTAAGCAACTAAACTAACTCTACGACAGAGCTTGAAGTATCACGCCGAATGAAGGCGCGTTAAGTCGCTCTTGCTAAGGCAATAATTAGTTCTAGGCTGTCTGTTCGGTATTGAGAGGTTTTCATTGCTTTCAGTCATTATCAATTATACGTCATAGTCATTGAAATCGGTTACTCTGCATTTAATTTATTTTATTTAATATACTCGATTATATTTCTATTACACTTTTCCATATATTTTCGTCTTCAGTTTTAATTTTCAAGCTGATTCATGTCAATACTCGAAAAACACATGGGATAAGTGTCTCTTATGAATATGGTAAATTAAAAGCATGAGCTTGAAACACATCGTTTGAAGCAATCTATAAAATTAATTCATGAATTTTTGTACGTCTGTGTGCCCTTGAATGTACTTATTCCCTTTTTTTCTGTAAAAATTAATTTACTTTCGCTCTTTGAAACTCGTGTTTGCAATGAAGAATGATTCAACACAGGCGCAGTGCAAGATTATTATCTTTTCACTTCCATTCTCAGCTCTTCCTGTAATTTCTTGTTTTAATTTTAATTAATTATTTCACCCTAACGCAAATCTTCCCTACTCTTTTCTTTCTCTTTATTTTTGATCTTTGTCTAAGATTTACCCTCTCTGAATTCATCCGTCACCACCACCACAAGTAAAATACCTATTTACATCTACAGTAGACAAGAAAGCTACTTACTCATCTACGATTGTATTTGTTAGATACGTCACATGACCAAGCTGCTTGTAGACGACAAAAACATAAGCTTGAGAACCTGCAATAGAAAAAATGGATGGAGAAAATGATCTATGAAAATAAATATACGGTCTACACTAATGCCCTCAGAAAAAAAAACTGTTTGTCTTTTTTCAACTATTAGTTTTAATAAGTTGGCAAAAAGGAATCTTCTTGGTTTAGAAATCAATTTTACAGATAAAAACGATTTATAATCTCCTAGCGAGGATATTCCTACAACATAAATACAGCACGTCAATTCTTGAGGTTTTAAATTAAGTGCTGGCTATTTTGTTTTCTGGGGTAAAAGGGACTAAATATTATCTCCGATTTTTTTAAAGCAAGGCATCTCTTCGCTGAGGTAGTCATAATTACTACTTACATCGCACACCAACGAAATAAAATCATTTTCTTGAGTTACCTCGCGTTCTACGCGAGGAAATTTGAAATTCAAAATTTTCTGAGCTTATTAGTGTTATTATCTATTGTTAAAATTGAGTAATAAATAATTGCAATTTGCAAGTAACCTAAAAAGCATAATCGTCTCGAGGATAAAGTCCCCAACCCCCATTTTCTTTTTCATTTGAAAACAGGGCCAAACAGTGCCGGCAACTACTGCCCTCATACGCTAGAAAAAGTCAGTACAATTTTTGCAGCATGATATTTAAAATGTTATGAACTCCCAATTTTTATATCTGTACTGTACCTGGTCTAGATGATGGGTGCGGTGGTTTGTAGCCGACGAATGAATCACCTGTCGATATATTGTTTCCCATGATGTTTGCAACCCACCAAAAGCAATCCTCCTTAATATATGGCATTGTTTCTGAAGGCGCATCTGGATCTGAGGATTTTACCGGAAAAGAAAACTTAATAAAGGAAAAACCAATCATGCATTGATGTATGACCAAGGTTTCCTTTGCAAGTCTCACATAAAGCCCCACAGAAAGTCCCACAGAAGAATTCGAATCCACGCAATAAAAATTGTAACTCATTCGAGTATTTCATGCCTTAGATCGTTAAGTCTGAAAACCGGGAGTTGGAGACGAATTTAATGTTACACATACAGGTCTCTCTTATAATAGAATTACTAACGGCGTAAATATGTACATTATCTAAAAAAAATCGACAGATAATCCAAAATCAAAGTGTATTTATTTAATGTTATCTGATTTTCTCTCATGTTTTAATTGATAAGATTGATGATTAATTAGAGAAAGAAATAACGATTAACGCCTCAAAACTTCCCGTCAATATCTCTCAGACGATAGAAATTATACTGACAAGTCAAAACATACGTTGAAATTAGCTTATTCTGTTTAAAAATGAAATGAAGAGAGCACGGTAACACCGATGTGCCTTGGCTGATTTACATACTGCAAGTTATCCAACAGTTTTTACATGTATACAAGCAAATTAAGTGCTTCAGTATGCTAAGACATTGACAAAAATCTACCACAAATACCTGTCCTCACCGTGACTGCTTAGGAAAATCTCTTTAAACTTACATTTTTACTATTTAATACTTTTCCTTCCCCATTTTGAAAGGTGAAACGTCAGTTTAAAATGCGTTTATTTACCTGTCACAATCAAAGTGTACAATGATTGTGGATCTGCTGCCCATGTCACACTTGGAGCGTGTTCAACTTCCTTAATAGTCATTGGAGTTCCATAGTTGACTTCCTTTTCTCCATAAAATATCTGAAAATAATTTTACGCCGTTCTTTAAAATGTTGAAGCGAATGTATCTTTGAGATTGTACTACACATATTAAATTGCAATTTAGAGCGGGTCTCGTTGTTTGTTACTGCATACTGTGATGAATTGTGCAGGCCCTTAGTAAAAGTGAGTCAGCCTGACGTCAGGTTATGTTTCATAAACTATCCTGAGTCTGGCTGATTCAGGCTGACATCAGCCTGAATCAGTCTGACTAGGGTAGTTTCTGAAATACAGCCTAATGTCAGGCTGATTCACTTTTACTAAAGGGAATTTTCTTACTTATCTTTGGGGAGCTATCAGGCTTTTTCATCCATTTTAAACCCGTTGAAATTTAAAAAAATTACAAACATGTTAGCATTTGGGCAAAAAGAGCAATACCTTGGCGGATTTCTATAACTATTAATAGGTAAGCATAATGAGATTACCGGGAGAATACTAAAATTATTCTTATATTCAGCTGATAGCTATGAATACGGCAGATTGCGCATTAAATTTCAAAACTTGTTTCATAAGAATTTGCATCAACCCTTTATATCATGTATGTGAACTTATCTCTCTTAGATATAAATAAGAAAAAATTTGGAAAAATTGTTTACTTACAACAGCTTTTTGCTTCGGTATAGTAGTTACCACTTCCGGATAGACCTTATGAAACTTTAGACACGCCTTCAGATCAAAGCATACGACAGCAAATGAACTGAGAGCATTTAACACGACTAAACCAAACTTTAAATTGAATATATAAATGCAAGGTGTATTCCAATAATTTTTTCTGCTCTCCATTGTGACCACTTACTTCAAAAATATTTCGAAGTCAAAAAATAAAAATTTAGCATGAAACTGAGCCAATTAATTAAGAGATAATCCATTGAGATTTATCACATTTATGTTCATTGTCATTGAGCAAAAAAATAACCGAAAGCAAAAGGGACACTGGATTCGCTTACTTTTGACACGTTCTTATTCATTTTGCATCTTACACATATTTGTACAGAGTCATATGTCTTGGTGACAAAATATTCCCGGCGAGACTTAGGTTTAGACGTATAATCTTATGAAAGTATGTTTTTTTGTGCGAGGGTGTGCTTGTGTGTGTTTCCCCATGATCGATAGTGATTGATAACAGCCGATGAATGATGATGTGCTGCGCTCTCTCAAGCACAGTCGATTAGGAAAACTGTAGTGTGTCCTTCTCGAGCGGGTCGGTTATTGAAAGTTTAAAGCAACGTGATAAGACATCGAACAGCGATATATTGCATGGTTGGGATAAAGCTCTGTCTAGTCCAGCGTGCCGACATAGTTCCGATGATTGGGCCGATCCGATGACTTTTAAAGATCAACATGAAAGAGCCTGTATGTATAGTCACGTTACCCATCAGTAATTGTTAGTTTAATATTGTGAAGTTGTTATGGGAGGAGCAATCCATGTTTTGAGGACTTTCTTACAAAGACTAAACATTTCCAGGGATTTGAAATTTATGCAGCCTGTTTTCAGAGATTCCAGGTTTTTTCATTTATTTTGTATTGATAAGCTTTAGCGATGTCTGTGACCTAATAATATTTGCAATGATGCCAGAAAAAAAGAACCCAAGGTGGAATGCCATATTTGTCCAACACTAATAAAAATATTTGTGTTCTTGTGTTACGATTGGTTAATATATAGGAAGTGGAACCCAAACTAACCTAAATTTTCTGTTGATTTTGGTACAGTTTGCGGTTTTAGCGCAGAAAACAATGGAGAGGCTAGGAAACCTCAGAGTCAACCGAAGGCTGCGGTTATTTTGTGTTTTACTTTTGCAAGCTTTTGTGTTGAGTTTTCTCTCTCTGAAGTAGACCGAAAAAATCTGGATCGAGGTCAAAAATATCGATTATCGGTTTTTGAAGCTCGACGTTGCTCAAGATCATTCAGTCATAGTTTTAAGTCATAATTTGAATCTTGGCTATCTTATTTTTCCCACCCGAAGTTCAATTTTTCCTAGTTTTGTCACATTTGATGAATTGATTGCATGGACATGTTCAGTGTGACTGTTTCTTGATTTCCAAATAAACAGATTTTCAGGTCACCAATTAGATTAAAATTCGTCGCTTAAAGAGATAAAAATTCTGTCGTAAGACCAAAACATGATTTCTGACATTTAAACGCGAGTTACTTGTATTTTTAAATTGGTTTTCGTAAAATTAATAAGTGCTCCAATGTTGTACACACGAGCCAAACATAGGGAATGACGGTAATTAACAAGTAAAAACTTTTATCTGATCATCAAAACAACATTGATCCTATGGAGTGTTTCTATCGATAGCAAGGAAAAATATAATGACAACGTCTTCGTAAATTATTTATGTTTAAAATATTCAACGGTGTAATTGACTAAGGAAAATATTATTAAATGTTTTTATCACTCAGAATCTTTCTAATTCGGGCGTTTTGGCTGGCTGTGGCGTTGCTCTCTGGTATTAGTTTGGTTGCTTCATGATCCACTGTAAAGTATGAAGCCGCAACAGGCCCTCTCAGCCTGTATTCTTTGACAAACTTACTCGTGTTAAATAGTCCGCGAAAAAGCATATTTCTGAAACACCGATCGAGGAAAGTGAAAGTTTAGTTTAAATATTGTACATAGAAATAAATACGTAGTCTCTCAGTTTCGTCTAAACCCAAAAATACTATGTCCTTAGTGAGCTCAATTATGAAATATGAGTATTACTACGACTAATACGTTGATCCTTTGGATTCGATAGAACCTAACCTTCATTCAATCTTCATAGGAAGGAAATAAGCTTTTATAATTGAAAATTACACGAAGCTTTGAGGTACATACTGCATTACATAAATCATGTTCCAAACCAAGTCTATATTGAATTGTGAGACTAGATTCTTGTGAGTCTGTCCATGAAATAAAATTAATAATTTTCATCTTATTGCCATAATTTTCCGTTATTGGGTTTTGATTTCAAACTTGAAACTTACTCTCGTGGTATCCGCCTTTCTGTGAAAACTTGCTTCCCTATCTGTTCGAAAACGGATATAATGTACCTGTGAATTCCTGGAAATGGAAATAAACAAATTCAAATACACCAAATTTTAAGTATTTGATGGAAAAAAATCTTGCGAAAATTTCTCAATGGCTTCCAAAACTTATCACCACTTTCCACAAATTCTTTCTTTTCTAGACAATTAAATAGGTAAATGTTCCTGAGTGAAAGTTGAAAATTGTTATCATTCAAGTGATTTTCAAAATATCTGAAATAGCCTGGTCCACCCTCGTCACGGAAAGACTTATTTAATGATCGCTTCACAAAACTCTCATTTCCCATGTCAAGCATACATTTTACAGATCATGCTTGGGCTATATAAGACTGGATCGTAAAGTTTTATTTAAGCCTTCCTTTAATTAGCTGCTTCCCCTGATTTTAAGAGAGCGCAAACAAAATTTTTGATTATCTGCGTTCAGCGCTTTCCGGACTCTGGAAATTCTGGATTCATATAACAAGTCTACTTGACTGTATTATTGCTCAGTACATACCGAGTTTTGACTGGTGGGCCGTAGCTATAGTTGACATTCTCCATCATTTTGAATTTTTTCACAACTATGATAGAGCCATGTTTTTTTACACGTCGGGAATTCAGACATGGAATGTTGTCTAATAATTTATATTCATATTTAATTGAGAGCGATGTTTTCTCTATCAATGGAGATGTTGCATGTGTGAGGAATTTGGGATTTGACTGTTGATTATTTTGTAAAAGTTTACGAGAAACGCGATGGTGTCACTGGTTTTCTCTGAAATCAACTCCCAAGCTCAAAAAAAGCTCTCAAGTTGAAGCCTGCAAAATGGAGAGGATATCCCTCGCTATCCTGAGAGTCCACCTTTACATCAAGACAAACTCTCCATGTGAAGATAGGGAGCGAATACATTAGCAGGGTTGCCGTGTTTTCAGTTTTAGAGTTCTCAAATAAAGTGGCAGCCTTGTCAATGCCTATCTTTGCATGGAGAGTTGGTCTTGATGTAGAGGTGGACTCTGAGGATAGCGTGGGATATCCCCTCCATTTTGGCCTCAACTTGAAAGCTTTTTTGAGCTTAGGAGTTGATTTCAGAGAAAATCAGTGGCACCATCGTGCTTCTCGCAAACTTTTACAAAAGAATCAACAGTCAAATCGCAAATTCCTTACACATGCAACATCTTCATTATCCGGATTGTTCTCCCATCCGTCTCGACTCGGTCACGATTAATCCGAGGGATGGGATTTTCCATGTCTATGATCTGAGAGCAGCTATATCGTCGCTCCTCCGATTTATCTCGATTCTCACATGAGCCTTGTTCTCGGTACAACTATACGCTTTCCGCGACTCATATAAAAATCGAGATACGCCCTTACGTCAGAGGAGTGACGATAAATCAACAAGATGTGGATCATCAACTCTAGAGTGCTTACCTTCTTCGACAACAAACTCGCGGGCATCCCGTGGGCCGGTGTACTCTGCAAAAGTCTCACCTGAGGAAATATTTCGTCTATAAACATTTCCGATGATCCAGTGTTGTAGTTCGCTCAACCTTGGATCAGACCGTGAGGGTGAATCAGGATCTAAATCAATAAACGATAATTTTGCTGAATACAACAATCCTTAAAGAATAAGAATTGAAAGATTGTACAATTTTTACCCACAAATTTTATCAATGCTAGAAAACAGTTCCACGTTTTTAACTGACAGGTTCACGTCCTTATTTTTATTTTCACGCAAAAATCAGAGAGCTTTGAAAAGAAATTGCAGAGTCGTCCCTGTGTTAAGAAAAATAATTATTTAAGTAGAAAATGTAATCTTGGAATGGAGTCATAACCCTCTGTACGAGAAACATACAGACGAATGACATGAACAGACAAATGATGACGGAGGTAAGGTGTCAATTTGGACTACTTTTGTACGATCTAATTCTTATAGATATGAAATTACTATGATAAAATTTACTATGAAATTTAAATAGCTAAGTATGCTGAATGTTTCGCTCTCACCGGTCATTATAATCGTGTAGAATGCATCTCTTTCGTCCCATTTTAATATCGGCCGATTTGCAGCTTGATCAAAAGGTATCAAGCCTCCTAATGGAACTTTGCTGCCATTATATATAACCTATGAATAGTAAAATTCAATGAGGCTCATTTTAACATTTAAACGTAATTTTACATTATGTATGTAAATAAAACCATCATAACTATAACCTTTGTGACCCCCTGAATTTTCATTATTTATCACGGTTCGTTCCTTTGGGCCGATTTCTATGATCTTTTGGGGGCATCAACAATTGAGTGATCAACACACCCCTAGATCAACCCATTTGATTTGTTGCGTTACGTGATAAAATTGTCAATTCTCCCATGTAAACAATGTGAATATGCATTACGTGTCACGGCTTGTTCTAAAGATCTGCCGGGCCGATTTTCGTAATTTTTGCATGCGAAATCGATACATAAAAGTCCCTAAATGACCCGCTATTTCTTTAGATTAATTCAAGGGGGCCCACAAAGCATAATCTGGGAGGGGGAGGCACACCGGAGGTTAAGCAGCCTAGCCGCTAAGCAACCAGTAAGAGTAGCCCCCTAGTTTATTGTAATGACTGATCGCTCATAAGCTTAAGTCCATGTGCGTCGTGCGTCCTATTTTTGTTGACTCATTTCTTACTCGTTGGTTCTATCCCTATAAAAACACCTATACTGAGTCGTCATATGCTTCGCTTCTTTAAATACATTGGGGGAAAATATTGCGAGACATCCCTATCTAGCACTTTTCAGCCCCTTCAATTAGTATGAATCAATTTAACCCCTCCACCAAAAACTTTTTTTACACGCGAAGTCCCAAGTTGGGTCTCATTGGCCTGTATTGAATTACATTGATTTTGATAGATTTGAAGTATCAACTACGTTATTCATATATTTTTAATGTAAAAACACTTTTTATTTAAATTTTGACCTTCACGCGTGGTAACATACTGGCGATTTCTTCCCCCCCCCCCCATCCTCTCTAGGTAAGTTCCTCGGGAAACTTGGTTAGGTCAATTTGACTCGGCTTGGAATTTCTAGCCAGTAGTTTTCAAAACTAAATTCCATGACAGGACACAACTCCTGCCGAAATATCAATTTTTTGAAGAAAGACTTCTAAACGTGTTTTTACTTCTTTTTTTTTAAATGAATATTGATTTGAATACATCATATGCCTTGAGCAAACTTAACCTTAACTTTTCTTAAATTTCAATAATAAAAGACACCTCAAGGTGGGTTATAATGACAGCGCAGAGATACAACTATATGTGCTTGATAGATGTCCGTGTTGCATCTGTAAAACTGAAGGCGCGATGCGCGAGGCGTGAACTCGCAATGCGTCACTCAAATTTTGGAGGAAGAGTTTAAAAAAAGAGACCTCGAATCAATCTGACCCACATTGAGCAATTAATAGTTAATATGCCAGTAGTATACGAGGTCTGTTAGATTAGAAACCGGATTTTGGTCATAACTAGCCCACAATGCGTCCGAACTAGGTTCTCTTGAGTTTTCCTGATAGCTGGAAATATACTTAAGAACGCTACGTTCACAGATTTTGTTTATTTTGATCAGTGTTTATTCTGTGTCATCTTGAATACGAGTAAGTCAGGTGCGTTTTGCGATTTTCATCATGCGATCACTGATAGAGCAAAGATTCAACATTAAATTTTGTTTTTAAACTCGGTATACCTTGTGCCGAAACTTTTGGTATATGCTTAGTGAAGTTTACCATGATCATTGTATGAGATGTTCCCACTGTTTTGAATGGGTTAAACGATTCAAAACTGGTCAGGAGTTCGTCAAAGATGAGGAGCATGGGAATCGACCCTCAACAGCAACTGACAATTGTCACGTGGAGGAAGTGCGGGTAAAAGTGCTCGAAAATGGTCGTTTCGAGCTTGTTGAACAGAGTAATATTTCTGAAGGCTCTGTACATACAATTTTGATAGAATATGTAGACACGCATCGAGTTTCAGGTACACTTGCCCCTTGATCGTTGTCCGTTGAACGAAAATCCACCCAAAAGTCAATTTCCCTCTAGCTGCTTGAACGTTCTAACAATGACCCTACATTTTTGGATAGGATAATTTTCGGTGACAATACTTTAGTGTACGGCTACGATATGGAGGAGAAACTCCAATCGTCCTTAGAGGTTGAAAAATATAGTGCAAGACCGAAAAAAGAGACAAGTTCGGTCAAACATAAAAATCGCAAAACACCCTTGAGGTTTTCTTACTTCAAGCCACATACCAACGAAGCTAATTAGGATTTTTCAAATTTGTGAACGTAGCGTTCCTAAATATACTTTCAGCTATCAGAAAAGCTCAAGAAAACGTAATTTGGACGCATTGTGGGCTAGTTATGACCAAAATCCGGTTTCTAATCTAACAGACCTCATAATGTGATAGGTAAATGAAGTTTCAACACAGAAACCATGCAAACAACTTTATCACCATGCTTAACAATTTAAACAGACAGCAACAAGGAAACTTTAGAAAATAACACACCTGCAGTTGCTCGAGCGGGGGCTCAGGAATTATATCAGGAACAAATTTCTCAGATTCAAATGTGTCTCTTAGCAATTTTTCAGCTGCCTCTTCAGCTGCAGCTTCCTCAGAGGAACTTTGTGAGACACATAAGGGTACACAAGATAAATAGGTGAAGAACGCTTGAATGAATAGGGACGGACTGTTTTCCATTTTCAGTTTTACCGATATTAGGGCTTCATCGATCAGATACTAGAGCACACAACTTATCACTCATATTACGACACACGAAACTGCTCACAACGAAAGAAAGAATGATTGAAGAGAGAAGATTTTGAGATGCGCTTTTTAAATGCTTAAAACGAGAAATTCATCCCACTGTACGCTCCCCCATACATTAAAAAAATTGCCTAAAACATTAAGTATGAGGGATAAAATATCCAGAATTCCTTTTGATTATTTTTACACACCGACCAGCGTTTTTATGAATTGTAAAAAGGAATGTTTGCGAATTTAGAAGAAAAATTCCACTGCTTCCAAATTTGCACTGTTACAGTGTTACATCTTAAACCCGAATTCATGAGCATTACAAATAGCTATACTGCGTAAATCACTGCTAATTATCAAATCGTTTCACTTAACTTCAACGTAGAGTGATGCCAAATTTAAAAACTGGATTTTCACTATTGTTGACGAAATGTAGGTTAAAAAAAAAGTGATTCAATTTTATAATCTAAAATCTACTCTCTTTTATCAGCTTATCAAGACAGACGTACACGACTTAAAAAAGGGTTAATGACCAGTATGAAGCTAATGTTTCTGTTCAAAAGACGTACACAACTGTTCCGTTAAAAAGCCTCAATCCTTTGATTTTTAAACGCATAAATTTTATAGTTTGGTTTACTCATAGATAATGACATGTCGTGTCTCACAATCGTCCAACCTTGGTCATGAGAAATAAATTTTCATTTTTCTCATTCAATTTATGGTTATATTTACGTTTTAATTTAGAGACGCAGGGAAACGTAATTTCATTATGGCTTTGACCGCTCTAAAACCATCAAACTTTCATGCGCAACGGGTTTGTTTATTAGCCATTTTATCTATCTCATGTCTTTTCAATGTGGTTGTATCGATATCAATCCTCGCTGAACGATTGTTACTTAAATATGGCATCATTCCTGACGTCATTGACGCAGCACCCGATTTTACCATAGACGTAAGTTTGTTCAATTAACTCATTGGTTTCCTGAATGAAATAAGCTGGTTTACTATCTGCGGCCCTCTTTCGAACCTGAAAAGATTACGAGTATTTTTTTTTCTTTCGGGAATATTGTTAAACATATTTCTACCGGGTACTTATGGATATTAGCACTAGTTACAGAATCGTGTTTTTACAGTTACACCTTACAATTTACCAAAAGCAAGATTCGTAGAACGTTAGGTTCCCACGGATAATAATGTGATTGAAGTTATCCACATGGAAATACTCTATTTCAGAGACTCCACACTCACGATGTAACAATATTTGATGTAAATGGGTGAGGCAGGAGTTTTTATAGATCAATTAATAATGAGCTATTTGTTGAGTATAAAATAAATGTAATTTGGACAAGTGATGACTGATGAATGCTGAAGTGAGCACATTTTTTGGGACAAGTTTTTGCAAATAATGTTGCTTCGGATCTTGTTACGCATTCATAGCCGGTTTATACTCACCACTGCAAGTGAATGACAATTGATTAACACATTTTGATCCAAGATGTACCTTTTGCGCGTATGAAAATATTACAAAATAAAAACATAAAACACTGAATAAATAAAAAGAAACTGTGACAAAAATGACCTTGAATACTAGTTTTATTTATTAATAACGTAAAATCGTAAAACCGATTTTTCTTGTGTTTGAAAGGTATCTCACCACAACAGAACGCTCAGAATGGGTGAAAAAATAGACCCGGCAGAAATGCAACGAGTGCCGAAATTAATGTGGCCGGCAAGGGCTGGCACACTGTTCACGTTGTTGATGATCGGTAAGATATTTTTGTGTTCCTTACTTTCACTCTTGCACTTATCACTTGACACGGACAGTTACTGAGGAGCGGGAGCTATAATTATGGGCATTTTGATTATTTCATAAATGAGTGCCTTAATTATTTCATCAGCCGTAAATGGCTAAAATACCTGAATACATTCCAGCAGCAACTGTTGGTTGATTGAGAGGTGATAAAAATAGTTGGAAAAGAAATCAACATTTTCCGGTAAATATATATAACGAAACTGGGCAGTTTCATCAATTAAGTGGAAAAAGTATGCAGTGAAACAAATCGCACCTGCTTGGTCGCGTTAGTTTTTTTTGTCTTTTTTGCCTTAAAAATCCATTAGCATAGAGTATAAAAACAAGCAGTAAGCTCCAAGGCATTCGCGTCGGAAAGCGACTCTGGCGACGGTAGTTAAAAATCAAAACAATATCGAATTGCGATATATTACACGGATAAGATAGGGCCATGTCCTGTCGTAACCGGCGACATAGAGTCGATGTCATTTCAATAATCGCCCCGATGGCCACGATAGTTGTTAAACGTTTACGGTTTCCTTGGTAACCTTTGTTTGCTATCAGCTGATATCGAGTAATATGCCTAGGAAGCTCCAACCACTGCATTCTTCCAAAAAACCGCGAAAACTTTAAAATTCAAAATTTCAAATTTTGAACGTAAAGTACATTTTTTCCATCACGAGATTAAAGCACAGACAAGTTTTGAATTATTGACTGTATCACCATGATTCCAAAAATACACTACACAACATAGCATTGGCTAACAATAAAACAATATGCAATAAAATAAAGTCATGACAAGGTACATAGTCGAAAATGGCGCCGATTCCCATCAACCAACGCGCGGTCTCTCCAATGTAACATGGTCCATTGATACTCCCCAGCTGGGACCGTCCGGAATAGCAGCTCTAGTGCAAGCACCAGAGCCGCTAAAACTTTTTTTGGAATTCGTATGTTCATTATCCTTGAACCTAAAGTATTCTCACCTAGAAGTAGGAGAAAAGTACTTTTTTGGTGAAAAAAAAAATCAGGCTTAAATCGTGTTAAAGCTAATCAAGAAGTGCTTTATTCTTCATATGATGAAAATTTCTTCTCACTTTTCAGATCCTGATGTTCCTGTTCGTAAAAATCCAACCCTGGCAGAAAGACAGCACTACATCGTGGGAAATATCAAAGGATGTGATTTTCGTCACGGTCAGGAAATGACCGGCTACATTGGTCCATTTTCAGCCAAACATTCTGGTAGGCAATAACTCATATCTTCTTTTTTATTAAACTAGGCATAATTCGATTGATTTTGGAATTTTTTAAAAAATGATCGTGCAGCATTCAGCGCGGGAATTTAGAATATTTTGGAATGATTTAAAACGCAAATTTACTCCATAGAACCCTTTTGTGTGTCACGACCGTCACGCTTTTTTTATTTTTGAAGCGTACGATATTCTGAGAAATCTTTCTGCCCACTTTATTGATGACTTTATCGACCTTTAGATTGTGCTTCATTGCTGTTGAGTGTACTCGCCGTTTTCTTTTTTAAATCTGTCACGACCGTCACAGTTATGGCCGTCACACCGCATAAGATATTTGGCGTGTAAAAAGAATGGGGGAGTGCCTGATAAAGAAAGCTACCCGTATTCAATTTTTAAGCCTGATACTATACTTAACTAGGTAAAACAAACCGAATAATCATTGTGAATTTCAGTGTTTTGGAGGTAAAATTGGACATTTTTCGTAGAATTTCCCATATGCCTCCTACGCCGCGCCAACCAGCGACGACACTGTGTTTCGCGCAATGAGTGAAGTATTCTTTCAATCTTGTAGGCGCTAATATGCTCTCCGCACCGTGCAGTGACCGCAGCCGCACTGAGTTTAGCGCAATGCGTGAAGTATTCATGCAAACTTGTAGGCGCTCATATGCGGATCGCGCCTACCGGTGGCCGCACCATGTTTGGCTCGATTAGAAATGATGATACAGCTATACTTGATCAGATGAACTGCTAATTTGAAACTCTAGAGAACATTTTCATGTCAAAACCGTATTATTTCATATGACAAAAACCTCATATAAGCTTTTCTACGCTCGAAGGACTCAACTTTAGAAGCCTCTGTCCCGTCAAAACTTTTTAGCCAATGAGTGTCTTGCTCTGTAAGTACAATCTGTGATGAGCCACGTGACTAATTATACCATGTGCTAACCGTGGCCAACTGCAGTTATCTCCCGATATGGCGAGGCAATAAAAGACAGGAGGTGACCCTCGCCTCGCCGCCGTTGAACCTTTTCTTTCACGCCCGATTAATCATTCACCGTGACGCCAGGATCCACCAAATTTTCACAAAAAATGTTTTCCGTCTATTTAGCGAGTGTTTCCTTACCCTCCGTTAAAATAAAAATAAAAAGAGATCTCATTTATGAAGATCAGCTGAATAGGAGAGAAGTTACAGTTCGAAATCCAAAGAGATTAACTTAACGCGATTTCTATGTACGGCAGTTCGCCTAAATTGCGGTCGTGCGTAAATGCCGCATATCAGCTTAAAATCAAGATAATTGGACGGTATCTTTAAAATTAATTTACACTCAACGATCATGAATCAATATTTTCTTCCAAATTTAGTAAAAAGTACCAATTGATACAAATAGCGTAGACGTGAAAAAAGTAGGCATGTGGTCAACATTTCAGCTATTTGGCACGCTTTTCCAACATATTCATGTTGGATTTTTCTTCTTTTTTTTGTTCAGTAGTGTATCCAATTAATGCTACTGAATCATTAAAATGTATAGTTTTGCTTTTCAGGTCTGCATAGGACTACATTTTTGGTCTACTCACAAAATTCTCATATACAATTTGACGAACCACGATATCCCTCAACACGAGACCGGTAAATATTAAATTAGCTTCCGACTTGTAAATTTTTAACATAGCCTTCCATATAAAACGTAATATCACGAATACAATTTTAGACAAGTCGAAACTACTAGTATTATTTGTGTACATTAAGACATTGAAATGTTGGAAAATTTCCGCTTATAAATTCCCATTACATAGTGAAGATAGCTACCCCTGTTCCCGAAAATACGCTGCATTACGTTGTGCGAAATACTCTAAACATTTTTTTTGCAATAATTATGCTAATAATTACGGCTATCTTTTGAAATATTGAATAAAATGGACATTTTGGGACTTTAAATCTCAAGAAAGAAGAAGAAAAGGAAATATAATTTTTGAGTTTAAACCACTGCATTGCATGCTAGACCTGGATTCATAGGAAAATTTAAATCAGTGCCGGAAAAATCAGACACTTTTTAAAATTTCGTGCAGGAAGATACTACATACTTGACTGATAGTATAAAAAACGGTTGGATGCAAATCCCGATTTTTCTAGTGATACCCAGCTTATTTATATCAAATTTTGCGACTGCTCAATCAATTGCGGCCCTGAAATATCCTGTAAATTTAGGTGCAAAATCTTCAGTATACCTTTATCTATGATAAAAAATGTTTTCCTTATATTCCCAGATCGTTCAAGCAGAGGTACAAGTTCTCGGCTCGCAAGTTTGCCGAAAAATATAACCTAACTCTCTTTGCTGTAAATTTTTTCATGACGGGATGGCCTTTGTACCAAATTACTCGGAGACCGACTGCACCTAAATATAATCCGTTTCGGGAACATTTCGCTCCATCACCCATGGAGATGTAAACGGCGCTTGAAACCGAATCTACAACCATCAAAGACATTACTTATGGAGGTAGACATTTTCTTGATAAATTTGGTATAACTTAACATTACCGCACACCTATTGGAGTAATTGAATCCGGTTTAGAACATTTTAAATAGCGTTTTAATAGCGAACATTATAAACATTTTAAATTCTTAAATTTCACTCAAAGGAATCGGATGACCATAGTTGTATATATACGGTGCCGCGGAGTCCAGTTTCAAAAGAACCCCTCACCCTTCTCCACTGCTCCGAATTTTGATTAACTATCTATGTATAAGCCGCTTTTGCGGCGCGCTCGGGCGCTCTGCGACGCCTACCCGCCACAGGAATCTGTCATGGTAGAGATCCTCTGGAAGCCGGCATCTCTCCTTATCTTGTCGGATGCCCTCTACCCACCGTTTGGCTGGACGCTGGACGCCTTCTCCGTCTCCTACTTGGGGGACCCACTCCAACACCTTCTTCGGCAACCTAGTATCAGCCATTCTCTGCACATGCCCATACCATACCGTCATGATATCGTGCACAATCGTCCCCTCAACGCCCATTATCTCTCGGACACGTTCATTCCTGACATGTTCTCTCCTCGAGATACTAGCCGATCTCCCCCAAAAATCCATCCCTGTCGCCTTGAGCATTTCTTGGGTCCGCTTCTTCAACTGCCACACTTCACTGCCATAGGTGATTATGAGCGTGACAACCAAGAATAGATACCGAGAATAATAAAATCGAGATGGGCCATTTTGATAAATTCACCTAATCAAAAATAAGAGATGGTAAAAAAATATCCAGATTACGAGATACTCTCAATAATTTTGACGATTGAATTTCCAGAAAGCATAATATAATCGATTAACAAAATATTATTGAAAATTGGTTACCTTTTCCACAATTTATCATAAAAATTATCCCACATAGTGTTATGAGGTAGTCTCCAAAATAAAAGGCACTCTCCCGCCATCCTGTGGATGAATTATTATGCATCGTTAACGCTGTAGCCTTCTACCTAGTACTCGATGGGTTGAGAGTAAAATGTGGTCAATATGAGTTGAGTACTGAAAACTTCGTACCTCAATTGCAGCCAGACTTCCTTGAAAAACTTATGGAGAGATGAAACCATATTCACGCTATGTGAAAGGAACTTGAAACAAATTAGTTGAGCTTATAAACTACTTTGTTGTTTTATCAGACTATCAATAGAATGATGTAACTGACGCTTAAAGTCTGAATCACACATGAAAATTAGGAACAGCCCCGAAAAGCAAAAGAATAACTTCTCGAACTGAAAAGAATCAACCAACATTGCTCACAATTTTTTTTAGTCATTTCTGCATCATATGGGCATTACTTCAAACGTTGTCATAATATGTGTCGTTTCATTCTAAAATGTTTGGAATAATTGAGTTTTAGGAACAGGTTGTGCGAAGATCTGAATTTTTTTAAAAAAAAATTGTGGTTAAAAAACTGTAAAAAATAGTAGTTATAATTTAAACTCCTACATTTACCACTTCATTTTACAGGAGTGGATTCTAAAGTAAGTGAGCCCATCTCTTTTTCCTTGGAAATCATCTACATGAGATAACAACGAAAATCTGTACTTAAATGAACATGCATAACCTCAATTCTTGACGAGGGTCTTTTTTTAAAGTTCATCAAATGTGTTGCTTACTGATTTTCTGTATCTTTCACGTGAAAGAACGTGCTCATCCTACATGGCAAAGGGCAATCAAAAAGTCCTGAAGGACTCCGTATCTTTTGAAAAAGTTGGAATGGAGAAATGAAATTTTGGTTGAGTCCATATAGTTTGAAGGAAGCTACTTATTTTGAGACACCTCAAATCAGTAAGGAGACCAACCTCTGGGGTGTCCTGGATCCCAATTTTTATGTCAAATGGCAACGTCCCTCTGCCTTTCGGTACAGAATTGAAACGAAAATATGAAATGTTGAATTCTCGTCTCGATAACAAGTTAATCCATCACCACTTAAAATGGCGGCCGATCAAAGTTCTTCAAAGTTCAACTTTTTCATGCCTACCATTTGGACTAATAATTAGTGACCTCTGATTTTCGCTAATAAGTGTAACTGTGTATTCTGTTTCTAATAATTGCGATCTTTTAAAGGGGATGTCATGAATTAAAATTTAACTTAGAGGGTCTGGTCCCGAGTTGGACATTTTCTTTTTTCAAAAATCGCGATTGGATGATTAAGTTGGATAGAGAATAAAACGTGAAACTTTTCAGCGAGAACCAGAGTTCAATAACTATCGTCACCCAACCTACTGGGGGCTGGCCCCATACTGGCCATACCCCATACTGGCCACCATAGTGAAAGGATTATGGACAAAGACTTGTGATCTAGACCAAATTCCGCATTTTTTATGTTCTTTATAGTGATCGAGTAAGAAGTATTTAGTTCATGAAAAGAGGGTACGAGTAAAGATGAAAGAATATGAAAAATTCTCAATCTCTCATCATCTGATAGGTTAAGTTTTAAAATACTATAGGCTTGCCAGACAACGTTAGTTGGCATAGCACGCGCACGCTCATTTAAACACCAATTATGCTTCTTCAGCATTGATAATTTTGAGTAAAAAGAAGGAAACGTTTTTGGAAAGCTTTCAAGTATCCATTAGCGAATTTTAAAATATAACTTCATCTAACTCATTCAAATTTTATTTTTTTCAGTTTTCCTTGTATATATTCGGGACCAGAGAGTATTTGAGGAGGAGAGACTTAACTATGATTCGTATTAGATTTAAATTCACAGGGAACTGTCTGAGGTGTTACTTTCCATTCGTCATCTCAATCATTGTGTGCCTCTTCAAGATAGTTATATCTGCAACAAACAATATCGATCACACACTTCGCTATCATGGTATTATACCTGACATCATAGATGTAGCGCCTAAATTTGTTATAAATGTAAGTATGATAGAAATAATTTTTTTGAATCACTTCGGTAAAAACAAAGAACTTTCATCAATGGGAAATTTTTTGATCATTTCATTTCATCTATCATTAAAAAAAAAAAAAAATAATAAAAAAATAAAAAAACTGGACGTTCAATTGGACCGTTTAGTTTGAAAACGTATTATCTCCAAAAACCTTGAATTTTTAGGAGATGAAACGATTCATTCCAAGGATGAAAAGGAGATTTTTGAGGGGGGAAAATTGATACAAGGGGAAAGTATCGATAGGCATTATTGAGCCAGAATTGGATGCCATGAAGATTGGAGTATTTGAAACGAAAAAATATTGCGTACCTCCAAATTAATTTTTTATGTCTAGTATCGGTAAATGAGAATTATGAAAACCCCTTCTAAAGTTTCATCAGGTATAGAGGTCTTAAAGAAGGAGTCATATTTTTCTGAAGTAAGGAAACTGAGTTTACGAGCAGTAAATCGAGACTTCTGGGAGTACTAAGCCTCTTTTCCTGGTTGTTTTGTGATTATCAGTATCACCTTGCAAAGGTGCAGCTACTCCCAGAGAAAACAATCCTGTTGAATAGTGAAAATTGAAAAAAAAAAATTGGAGATTATCTATCTTCATCATGTTTTTCAATTCACCCGAGTCGCTTTAAAATCTTCGTGTGAACCTTTATAATAATTTTCACATCAAATATAATGCATTTTCGTTTAAGGTCGAATTTTCTGTTAAAATGGGGGACTTGAACGACATTTTTTATAAAAAAATACTATAGGACAGCATGTACCACTATTCATTTAATGATTAAATCATATTTATGTCTCAGATCTCATATAAGAGGAATGACAGCCTTCGAATGGGTTTCAAAGTAGACCCTGGTGGCATGCAGCATGTCCCATGGGTCGAATGGCCCGTGGAGGCTGGAGCTTTCTATACGCTATTGATGATTGGTGAGCTATTTCTGTGTCTTATCTCGCCTTACTTGTGTACAAAGCCTACAATTTGCAACGAGATAGTATTTAATGAGCGAGAATGTTGTCTGTATACTTGTCAGTTTTGGTAAAATCTAATTAGAAGTATAGGCAACTGTAAAGAAAAATAACTAAATTTTGTACACTCCTGCTTTTTTCCTGAGCTTGCATAATTTTCCTTTCAAATTTTCGCGATTAGTATAATTTTAACATGCTCATTATATGTCTTGAGTATGAAGGATATTTATTTATGTCTCACATAGTATTTTAATTCTAACTGAAAATTGAAGGGGTACCTGTACTAGAAATAAGAGAGAAGATATTATTAAGTAAATTGAGAAATTAGTCACATCCGTGTATGATTCATTTATATTGGATGCAATTTGTAAATTGAAATGAATACTAGAACTCTTTTCCTGCCTCAAAAATTGAGCTTCAAATGCATTGGTCAAAGCGTTTGTCAACTTTAAAAGCACCTTCATCGAAATCATATGAGTCTCACTCAGGTATACTTCCTCCATCAGTGTTATATTTCAATTACCATGCCTTTATACAACTGTCTATTACATTTATTTTGTGTCCAATCTCAAAACGCCTCCTAATTCAAGTCATTAATTCCTTCTCTCGTATTAGGTTAGAGGAAGGGATTTAGACTCTGCAGATAACAGTTAGAGGGAACTCATTTTGGCACCACCAGTTAGCGAGGGGCGTGCGGTATGACGCAGTCAAAAAAAATTGTGATTATAATTTTCGAATTACTTTCCGTTCTATTGTATTTATACAATTTTAAGGAATGGATAAATTTGAGCGATTTTATTCTATTCTGAGTTTGCCCTAAAAGTGAGCAAGATTTTCCAAAATTGTTTTATTTTTTTGATAGCTTTATTTTAAAAATAATGTTTCAACGAATAGTTTGAGCCTTATGGTGCCTACCAGCTGGTGCCGCCAGTTGCTTAGATTGTTGTGTTAAAATTCGTAGAAGCAAATCATGTATTTTCTAATTCACACCCTAATTCTTTGTTTCCAGATCCTGACGTCCCAGTTCGGAAAAATCCGTCTGCGGCACAAAGGCAGCATTGGATTGTTGGAAACATACCACGCAATGATCCCCATCATGGCGAAACGATCACAGATTACATAGGCCCTATTTCGCCGAAAAACTCAGGTTGGAAACGATATAGCTTTCCACACTGTGCAAGATTAATTGCGGTGTTATATTTAGTTCCGAGGGGAAAAGTTACAAGTGGTGATAGTTGTTAAATGGTTTTTTTTTTTTTTTCATTGTAGAAAGAAACTTATTTATTCATTACCAATCCATAAGATGAATGTTTAATCTTTTTCATCGCACTCTCAGCAACACGCTGAGCTAATACAATGAATTGATGACACTCAAATTTAGGAAAATTACATGGAATAGAGTACTTTATTCTTTAAAATTGTCAGATTTTTTTTTTCTTTTTTTTAAAAAATCAATTATTTTATACAAGACTGAATTCAAGTTTAGCTCTTTGATAAATTTTACGCTAAAGACACAGGGTTTTGGTTTCAAAGTACGACCTAAATATTGTGGGACTAGTGTCCAAAATTCAATGCATCTTTACCATGAACAACAATTTTGGATGAACCTTTCATTGACATAACCAAAAAATTAATGAGCTATCATTTTACTTTTTAGGACTTCACAGGACTACATTTCTTGTCTATTCTCAAAATTCACGCATAAATTTCACAGAGCCAAGATTATCTTTACTAGATAGGTATATATTTGCAATTTCTCAATTTCTTTACTTTTATTGCGAGTTTTTGAACTTATGACTTGTCGTCTCTACATATGACATCACAAAATAAGAAAAACATGCTAGATATTCTATAGTATTTTCTGAAGACTAATACATTTCATTCTTGAATTCAAGCTGTAATCTTAATGAGTTTATGTGCAATTTGCTTTGAATTTCGAGCTTTAACTGCGATCAGCTATTGAGTGCACGGATGCTTCTCAAGATAGCTATCTTCATCACGTTAAATCGAAAAAAAGGGATTTAAGTCCTCGGCAAAAAACACTCTCCAAATTTAAAGGAATATACAATAAAGTGATTGAGACTTTGGTCACGGTTGTTTCATAACAGGACTTCAAGATGCATTTTATTCGAAAATTTTGAGTCCCGAACATTGCATTGTAACATTTTATCTATCTTTTTTTCATAACCGCATTTTTCGGGCTGCATACTTAAACTGTTCATACATTCCGTTTAGATCATTATTTTATGGGTGTTTAATGCGCCAATTTGCGTAACAATGCTCTGAGCAGTAATTCGATAGGTTAATTATTATGAATTTTTTGGCATTAAGTGTTTTTTTATGGCGTTAACAAATAGATAAAACTGAAAAATGTTGAAATTTTAATGACTTTGAAATTTGACTCTCTGTATCCTTTCAGGAGTAACGTATGTACTATTAGTATAAATGATTCCTCTATGAAGTGCTCCCCTATAAAGATGGGTGTTGCTATGGGTGAGCCAAGGATAATGATTCCTTATTGCAAAATAAATACTAAATCAAAATTTTGCTCGATTATATATTAGATTACAATTTCATACAACTATTTTACCGAGTATAAATTAGACAGCTCTATCGATGTGAGTGGGAAGATTTTCAAACATGCTAACTTTAACAGGTGAATAATTAAATTTTTTTCGAGGCAGATTACGGTCGGGTTTTTTCGCATTTTTCATTTTCCACTTTTAACTACAGTTTAATTCAGATCCGTGCAATAGTCTCTCTGTGAGTAGTATTATATCCCTCGTTTTTGAAACATGCTTCAACTGATGTTTGCAGGTTTAGCATGAAGAAGAGGTACAAGTTCTCCGCTCGTAAGTTTGCCGAGAAGTATAACCTGACTCTATTCGCCGTAAATTTTTTTCGCACAGGGTGGCCTCTGTACAGTTACGCACCAAAGAGTGGATCATCATCTAGATCTCTAAACAATCCAATCAGAGATAATTTCGCACCATCGCCCGAGGTCATGGAGGTATGAACAAGACTAGAGGTGACATCAACTGTCATTTGAACAATATTTTACGAAAATATAGACTAAATCAGGAATTAGTTTTCGCATTTACCAGTAAGTTAGCAATATTGAGTACATAGAGTCGTAATGTAAATGGGAGAGCTGGCGCCATGTTCTGCTCGACGAGTTCCGAGCCCGGTGTGCGCTGAGTTCGGGTCACTTTTTCGATACATGTTCGATCCAAAATGGCGGTGTAGAATACGTGGTGATTCCTATCTTCTTTGTTTACATTGGATGGCCGGGTACCCGTGTATCGCAAACAATCGATTATGTATCGAAAAAGTGACCCGGCGTCACACAGGAGCCTCGGAATTCGGGACCTGGAAAATGCTTGTAAGTGGCGCCAGCTCACCCACTTACATTACGATACTTGGTATATTAGTCGAAAGTTGGTTCAGTAATTTCCGTTGCATGAATTGTGTTCTACACAATTTTGATGAAAAAACATGCAGCAGAATGCTTCAATTCATACCTTGTCTACTATTCTATCCTAAGGGTATTCTTGCGGGAAAATTTTGTCACTGAGAATAGCGGGGAAATTGGTGAAGCATAGTGCACATTTCTCTCTATTATTGGCTGTTTTTTCTATCATGCTATGATTCAATAATTCCCGTGATTTATCCCATTTATTTATTGCCGTGATTAATCTAAACTAAAACCAATTCTTTTTGGTTCTTTTCCCTTCAATTCTCAATTCAAATTTTAGAATTGCGATAACTTTTTTGGTCGATGATATTTGGAAAAACGGATTAAATCACGCGAAAGAGCGCGAAAAATCAGGGCCTGAAAGTATCGCACGAAATTTTCCAGAGGCGCGTCATTTCGACGCAACAGAGCTTTGAAAAAGTTTCAGATTTTCGAAGGTCCTTGCTGAGTAGGCAATTTTCACTGCAGGGACTGTTAGAAAATTGCCTACGGAGCCAGGGACTTTGAAAATCCCGAAGCTATCGCGACGGATTCATCCTTCAGAGTTACGAAACCCCTCGCTCCGTAGGCAATTTTCTAACAGTCCCTGCAGTAAAATTTGCCTCCTCAGCAAGGAGCTTCGAAAATCTGAAACTTTTTCAAAGCTCTGATGCGTCGAAATGACGCGTCACTGGTTGGCTTACCTCATGCAAAACGTGATGTAAGCAATAGATAAAATCGCTTCGTTCTCTTCCATATCGACGATGAAAGTCGGCAATCACATAACTCGATTTGCGACGTCGCAGACTTCCTGTCATACTTTATTTTTTAAACGGAAAACTAATCAGCGGTAATTCTTTAAAACTGCCGTAATTTTTCTTCTATGTGCGAGGAAAATTATGCAAAAACTTCAAGGAATCATGTCCATTTGTTCTCCTTTAAAAAAATAACATAGTTGCGGCGATTTTCAGACCCCGCAAACGAGTTATGAGATTGCCGACTTGCACCGTCGATATTCCTTTGAAATCAAGCTCTGTAAAATATTATTATAATACGACATAATAAATATCAGCGAATATTTCCTTATTATTATTCTTTACCTTTTTTGGCTTTAAACCAAAAAATGTTGAAAGTTTTTCAATTTGTCCAAAACTTACAATAAATCTGCTTTGTTGAATACTGACAAATTCGTTTTTTTAATAAATTAATCTCGACGCACCCTTGTTGCCAGTGTGACCGACCATTTATGCCAGGAAAAATCTATTCGACATTATTTTAGAGTAATCTTTCGTCTGCTTTGGGGGATATTACTACAGATTTCTTTCAAAGGTCTATGGTCAGTTAAATGATCTCTAGAGAGTAAGGCAAACCGTAAAACCAAAACTGTTAAAACGAGATGACGAAATATCCATGTTAAAACTAAATGACCCAGCCCAGCCTCTTGATCGCGAGCTATCTTCGTAACCTTATATCCATAAGAAAATCAGATTATATTTTTCATGAAGTT